GCCATCGAGACTGCGCGTCGTTTTTTCGGGGATCCTACGCGATGAGAGATGGAGTGAAATAAATTTGTAGAGAGGATAAAACATTGCAAGACGGACTAGCCGCACGCAAACCTTGAGTTGGCAAAGGTGGCATGGTCTGTTGCGCGACTTGTTGATGCGTATTATCCGTCGTTGGTATTGTGGCATTGCAATTTTTATCCCTGCCATGATTGCTGATAGCTGCTGCAAATGGCACTGGAGAACCTTCTAGTCCTCGTTGCCTGTTTCTTCTATATATACTTTCGTAATCCAATTGTGCCTACGGCAAGCAGAGACACAGGTTTATCTCGTATGGACAAAAATGCTTGTATGAGATTTTTCCATTTCTTACATCCAACTCCTTTCGGTTGTCCGGTTCCACGTTCTCTTGATTATTCGTATCCACATTTGTGGTTGGAGGCTGATTGAGGGTAGTAGCTGTAGTAAGAGGAGGTGGTACAGCTACTGTAGGTAACGATCTAGTAGTTGATAAACCTTCATTAGCTATTAATGGCCTTTCCCAATCGTAGGGATCGTTTGGTTTTACACCTCTACGTTTCATACATCGTTCAAACAGACCAGCCAACATACCATAATCCGGTTTATCCGCGTACTCCAAACTCTAGAAAGATATCAATGTTTCATTATTACAAAGACAAAGATATAAGTTGGTCATATCGTAGATTGATACCTGAATGTGTTCTAAAAAGACTCTCAGATCGGATGGGAGATGTTTCAAAAGTAATCGATGATCATATTTTTCTTTCATGAGACCAACCTGCAAAAGATATTACTTGCAAGTGACTGCGTCTTTGTATCTGACGGCAGTGTTGAAATTTCTTGGACCTACTTGTTCTTTATCTTTTATTTTTCGCCATGGCAGTTGTCCATTAACGAATTCGACTAGCATATAAAATAGCGACCATAAATCATCGTGTCGGCCCATCTCTTTATTTTTGTGTGCATTGACTGATGCATATCGGACGGTTCCTCTAAATCCCGCAGCAGCGCGAGGCGGTCGCACCTCTCCCGTACTGGTCGTGAATTGTCGAGCTAGACCGAAATCTAACATATACACTAGCCTGGAGTTGTAAGGGTGGCGGCCAATTGAAAAATTCGACTGTAAAACAAAACGTTAATATTTTTCAGACTATATCGTCGCAGTACGCGAAAGTACTCTCCGCGTAAACAGCCGTGTGCAAGCGTATACTTACAGGTTTAATATCTCTATGCAAAAATCCTACTTGATGAATACTTTCTATAGCTTTTAAAATTTGAAGACCAAGACGCAGTGTGGTAGAAAGTGAAAAAGCTCCTCGCGGTTGCGCCCTGCGCAATTCCGCCAGGTTCTTCCCTTGTAATTGCATTACAACATAATTAAATCGATCGTTACGCCCACAGCCAATAAAACGGCAAACGTGGTCTTTACCTACAACAATTTTTCACAATAAAGCGATAATCCAGGGATAATGTGAAGACTTGATACCAACCCTGTAATTTTTTTAGTACAGCTACTTCCATCTTTAGGACTTGTTTCGGTTGCCGTGCAGACTCGACCTTAAGGGCAACTTGTTCCTTGGTCATTAAATCAAGACCTTCGTAAATTTCACCAAATCCACCGCCACCTATCTTTCTCACCTAAATATCCGAAAGACAAGTAGGTGTTTATATGTTTTTAAAATGTCACATCTGGCCCGCATTGTCAGCAAGTTGCATAAAACAAGTAAGAGCGGCGTTAAAGTTGAGGGAATAAAAGTGACAAGTATGGAGAAGAAGCTTACCACTTTCCAACGCTCTTTGACCACATGGCCGGGCTGCAGCAGATCCTCGCTCGTCATAGTTATATTATTATTTTGATCCGTGCTTTCGTCGCCTACATTCCTCAACGCCGAATCCTCGGGATTCGCGGGCCTGGAAAAGCGCAAGTTGCGAGATTACGTCACAAATACGCGCGGACCGTAACGCAACGTCACCGCGCCGACGAGGTAAGCTGTCAGTGCTAAGCGCGGCTCGAGTACGAATACGATTTTAACCTGAAATGACGTTTGACAAAATTGGTCGATACGCGCCCTGCGCTAGGCAGCCATGATTGCGTGCGGGAGAAAAGTGTCGCTGGTTCAGTTTCTTGTTATTCGCTCCTCAAGCGAACCTCTCCATATCAAGCGATCTTTCGATCGCTCGCACATCAACGGCTCTCTCTCTCTCTCCCTCCCTCCCTCCCTCCTTCCCTTCGGCTTAGCGATCGTTACTTGGTCAGCGTGATTCGACTCGCCGACCAACGGATGTCACGGCAATCAATTGTCGAGCACGCACATTTTCGATTCCCCTTCGCAATCCCGTTCTCGACTGGCGGCGCCGAGTGCGCCGACGGCGACGACGGCGACGAGTCGACCAGTCGACGGGCGAGCATGGTAGCCGACGAGCGCGAGGCGCGACATGAGAGAAGCGGCCTTGCTCGCCGCCTACGGGAAACCAGATATCACGTCGCGGCGGGACGTCGGCTGCGAGAGGGACCGCCGCGCCGCGCGTATCCCAAATTCACTCCCGACCCGATCCAAATATATATACAATAGTACTTAATTTTTACTAACAATGTCGTCTGCTAGAGACGTTACTCTCGTGCGCGACGTACTCTCGGTGGACGACCGTCGCACAACCGCGCGCGCGCGCGCGCACACACACATACACACATATATACACACACACACACACGCGCGCGACTCCCTTCACAATTCCGCGGCCGCCATACTCCTTCCGAGTCGACCGGGCCGCCGTCCGCGCAACCGTCTCGGATTGCCGATCACTCGCTCCGGGCGGCCGGGCCCGGGTGTCTGCGGCTGCCGTGAAACTCGCCGTCAAATGCCAGCGGGACGGCCATCTTTCGATCTCGCGCACCGCACGAGAGTCGTAGTGCGCGAAATCGACGGGAGATAGCGCGAGCTGTACGACGATCGATGCACCCTTCTTCTCTCTCTCTCTACCTCGCTCGCCCGCCCGCCCGCCCGCGCCCACTCGCGCCCGCGCCAGCTCCGCTCTCTCTTCTCTCCCTCTCTCGTTTATTATTGGTTATTATCTCTCATAGATCTCGCGCGTCAAAGCTTCCGCACGGTAAGTAAACGCATCGGCGCGACAACCCCATGGAATTTTATGGCGCACGATGGGAAAGAAGATCGCCGTGGGAGACCCCCGTCGGTCCCACCTGGTGTCCCGCCCGTCCCACCCACCGGTCTAGTCCGAGTCGACTATCGGCCGCGAGATTGACTTAAATCGCTTCGCGAGCGCGCGGCGCGTTCTTCCGCGCGAATTGTTATTTTAGGAAGGCCGAAGAATTTTTTCCGACGAATAGAGCAAAATACGCGCGCATGTAATTTCTAACGGAAGACGCCATTGCCCGTTATCGTTGCGGCAAGAGGGAAAGGTCTCGATTACAGCGGAGGAATTTTTGGGGGAAGGAGAAGATACTCGTCGCGCGCTCCCCAACGATTCGCACTTTCTTTCGTCGAATAAGAAAGCCCGTTCCGACAGTTATATTAAGACGGAAAGGCGCTTATAAAATTTGGACCGCTCGCTCGCGGCTCCCTTTGCTAGAGGGCATAATTTAAGTTTAAACGTCTATTTTTAAACGGCCCCACTCGGCATATAATACACCGGGCAACATCTTCCACCTCGCCAGACAACTTTTCCAACTCGGTTCTTTCTTATTCCAGGAAGCCGGGGAGCCGACGGGCATCCGCGCGTAAATAAAGAACATCTCGAACTCCATCGTTCGCCACCATTTGCCAGCTGACTCGGATCACGTTTGGATAGAACATTCCATAGATCCGCGCAATTTGCGCCGCTCACCAATGGCACGATGGTGCACGACTTAAGGACGCGGCGATTATTTCGATTCAGACCGTCTCGCGGACGCGATACAAATCGCAGAGGCCCCGGCCACTAAAATAGACGGTAATTATACCGTTATATAATTACGCAAAGTTATTGTCGCCTCTCGATTATGTATGCCTGCGCTTCGTATCGGTGACGCTCAATTTGCCAAACCGTTTCAATGTTCAACTATATACATCTAGATTGAACAATTAGCGCGAACGCTTTCGCCAAGTCAATCAAAAAGCATGAAAAGAAGCTTCTCGATAAAATTATTCGAGTCTCTCTCTCTCTCTCTCTCTCTCCTACTCTCGGGAGAATCGAGAGGAGAGGTGAAAGGTGATTTTTATTTTTCGATACGATCTAGCAGCTTCTAGAAATAGCCGGGCGTGATTTTACAAAAGAAATCCGTCTCGCAAATTCTCCCAAGCTGCGTTGTAGCAGCTCGGGAGAGAATTTTGTGTTATTCTCTCTCTATTAATAAGAGAAGCGTCTAATCCAGATATCTCAGTTATGATTTCGGGAAGTATTCCAAATCGGTTAAGTTTAACGCTCTGGCAAAGGCCTGTAATTCACTTGCCCGGCACGTATGCGCTTCGAAAATAATATACGCTCGCGCAGGCATACGTAGCCATGCGTGTCGGTTACCCTAAAAGCATCGTCCGCGAAGAGCAAAGTAGAGTTGGATCAAGATGACTTGGCGCGTTGGACTTGCCGCGCGTTAATTAGTCGGAGGAGTGCATATTCGTATACGTACCATTTCATGATCCTGACGAAAAGAACCGGATCGGATCGACGCGGGACGCAGGAAGAAGGCGCAACGATAAGCGCCGATTCGGAGGAATCGCGCACGTGTTCGACCGGCGCGGCAGCGAAGATTCACCTCGACTTGTGGGACGACGACGACGACCGAGCCGGACTCGAGTCATAATAACAGCGCTCCGCTCCTTGGCTGCGACGTGATGATGACTCGGTGGCGCGACCGCGAAATCGTCCCCTTCAGCCCCTGCTTCTCCTCGGTTGTCTTCTCGGTTCTCTCGGTTCTCTCGGCCGTCCGACAACCCCCCTCTCGAGCAGCGAGTCTCCGTCGCGTTTCCCGCCGCTTTTGTGCTCCACAGTCACGTTGGCTGGACCGCACGCGCGCGACCAATTTCTTTGTGACGATTCGTACAAACGCGGCTGGTCCAAGGACTCTGTCATGTAAAAAAAGCCGCGCGAACGTAGTGAACGATATCGATAGTCGTCGGTAATCGTGTACGGAATAGAGCCCCGAGGCAGGGCCAATTTCTTCCGACCCAAGGAGAAGTGAAAAGTCATATTGACCAGAATATGACATGAAATTGACGTCATCTTGACTTTTCATCTCGCCAAAGTCGAGTCGCCTCGTTTGTCTCGGTGATCGTTGATATATTTATTGTTCTCGCGGTTCCCTAGTAGTGCAGCACATTGGCCGATATTTAACAACGTAACAGCAATGTTAGACCAATGTTTGGCTAAATCCCAGCGAGAAATGATTCGTCGATCGACGTCGAATCGACATCGACACCGTCGAATTGACGTCGATTCGACATCATTTCGACGTCGATCGACGAATCATTTCTTACTGGGATAAGGGAAGGCGTCCATCTTGCAATATTGGGAATACCAGATTTACATTATTTCCCAATATTGCGCCAATATATTGTGCTACTAGGGTACTTTCATATAACGCGGTGTGAGTCTTGTTTAAAAGCAAATCTCTTTGCGTGTCTTAAAATGGTTGTTACTCGTTCAAAATAGAATGATAAGCGAGCCTCCAAAAATAAGATTTCGGTACTCTATCTCCATTCGCTGTACAGCCGAAACTTTGTAGCAATTACCGTCGGTAACATCGCCGTTTGCTAAATGATGGGGCAACAAAATACAAAATTAACAATTTACAATTGTTATTGTCGCGCCACTGAAAACGGAATTGTCACTCGGACTTTTCGAAAGTGAGCTTTGTGACGTCAGTGAGACGAGCGGGTTTAATAATATCTGTTTATTATTAATGTTGCATTATTATTACTTTTATACATATTTGATATTGGCCATCAACAAATATGTTACAATTTTTATTTCCCCGCCCCTAGTGTTTTTTTATTCGTTTGTCCAAAAACTAACGCGATATATTTTCATAATAATAGTAATAATAATATAATATAATATAATAATAATAGTAATAATAATAATGATACATAATAATTCATAGTGATTGCATGTGACACGTGACGTGTGACCAGCAGTAATAATGGCACCGCGCTTACGCATAGCCGTTCCTTCAGTCGCCCCGTACTAAAACGACGTGCGTATCGGAAGAATGCGGCGATAAGTAGGTAAACGCAGCGCGTAAGTCGATATTCAACAAATAAGATTGAAACAATAGTTACGTGCACACACTCGATGCGATAGAGTCGCGACGGAAAACGTAATCGCTTGGCGCGCGTGTCGTCTTCTCTTCATTTCTCCTATCTCAAAAGGAAAGCAGAATCTCGCGCAGCGCAAATATGTACGCGGTGCTGCTGGCTCTTGACACTGTATACATTGTACGTTTATGAAACTAACTGGTGTACCCGCAAGAACGAAAGTGTATGTACGCGTTTGTCATATGCGTTTGTACGTGTGGGTGTGTGATTCGCGTGCGAAGCGAATCTAATCGTCCGTACACATAATGGATTATAGTATATCGCTTATTATATCGGTATCGGCATGTAACCGCGAGGACAATTTTTATCATTCGTAAAAAAATAGTTGACTGCGAGTGCATATCGAATTTCAGCGTTGTTCTTTTCTCTGCGGGCTAATTGCGTGAAATCTGGTACGACGTTTCGAGAGTAACGTGTACTCGCGATGTAGAATATAATAAGTGAGCCCTCGAAATTTCCCCGAAACGTGGCTTTACTACAACGGGATGCTAAAATCGCGGCTCCAGGCTGTAAGTGTCGCGACTTGTCGTTAATTAGAGCGCCAGCGAAGGGTAATCAGCTGTATCGACTGCATGAAAAGAGTTTGCTGCAATTCTCATGTGACACGTGTACAAATGTAGAGTATAGAAATGAATCGACGCGTCTCTAACGGTGTGCAAATTCAGTTGAGATGCGCAGTGTATATGTGTATGTGTAGTAATATCGATCGGACACGGTGATCGTCCGATTCGCACACGGGCAAATCGAGCGGAACGCGGTGTTAACGCTACAAGAGATTTTTGCCGAAAAGAATACCGCTCACTCACAGCCGTTATTGTCAGTTTGTCTGGACGTCACTAAATATTCAGCGCATACTACGTACGCGCGGGCTACTACGGCGATCGAAGCTCGTATAACGCGAGGGAGATTTGGAAAATTTGCCGATTTACGTTCCGCGGCGTTTTTGCTGTTGGAGCAAAAGTTGGGCGAAAAGAAAAATTCGGGCCTGCTTCCAACGTAATTATGAAGAAAGGAACTAGTCGTCTCGGAATTTTTGCACTTAAACATTTCTATTGGAGAATGTCTGTTGCAGCCAGCCGTCGAGGATGTGCGATGATGCTCTTCCGAAATCCCTCAAGTAAATCACTGCATTAAAGAATGACATTTTGGATCCAGTTCCTTTCCGCATAAATATGTTTACAATAATATTTCGGATCGGTTGAAATGGTCCTTACGTCGCGCCCTAGCGATGCACCATCACTTTGAATAATTTTCAATGATTCTAGATTCGAGAGCATCAATGGAGCCTGGCACCATCTCTCGAGTCCCGCATACTACTCGCTAATCGTGTCTACGTGCTCTACGAGCGATGACGGGAGGACAAGAGGTACGTGCTGATTTACGAGACCCGGCGATTCGTGCGATCGGTGGCGATTGGTGCGTCGTTCGCGGCCGATAAGCGTGTAAAAAGAAGCGTTGTCTCCGGGGATGCTGTCTAGGATGCACGAAAACGAGAACATCTCTTAGACAGATTCTTCTTGTCCAGATTCACTCGGACATCGCTCCAAGATTTCGGTGCGAGTTCTTTTCTTCGTCCCCGCGATTTTACTAAATCTTGGCTAAAACTAATTGGACCTCGTCGTTTGTTGCAGCTACGAAAGATGAAAGATAGGTACACACGAGAGAAATTTATCGCGACAGACGCACGATAAATATTATTACACGGATGCGCGATACAGGGGAGAAGCACGATATAATAATAAACCACGGGGAATTTTTCACTTGGCGATACAGGGAGACAAGAGCTATCTTACAACAGGTAAGACGCGTCCTCGCGGAAACGCGAGGACGACGCGAGGCGAGGCACGTCGCGGCGAGCCGCGCCATTTCGTTGCCCTCCGAGTTCTATGGAATACGTCATGCGTACGTATTGTACGTATCGCTCCATCTCAAAATAATGTTTGCAACTCGGAGGATCCTTGGACGAAACTCAGCGGGACGGCCGCGGGGTGCACGTCCTCGAAGAATGCACGAGTGCACATTTAACAAAAACGCCAACAAGGAAACGTGCGTGAATAATAAATTAATCGAGCGCATGCGCAAATTGCATTGTCTTATAAATCGTATAAAAATTTTCTATATTCAACCTAGCTTATAATGCCTTAAGAGTACGGTACGTCGGGAATTTCTTTAATGCCTGCAGATCTACGCGCCCCTTTCTTACGGCGAGACAATTTTGCTACGATCCGCGCGCGAGCTCCAAGCTATCGGGGAAACCGTACGTTCGTTCGTTCGTTCGTTCGTCATCTCGGTTTGACTAGTGTCGGCCACATCTCTTTCATCTAGGAGCAGATCTGATCGCAAACACGACGCGCATGACGGCAAAGCCACGAATTCGACCTTGTCGTTCGGCTCGATAAATTGCAAGTCTCAAAATCGCATTTAGCTGTCGCGCCAGGTCGCCGCTCTTAAGCAAATTCTTGGAGCGGGTAACGATCTCGCGCTTACGTACCGTGAGGACCGGTCGCGTGGTCGCTCGCACGGTAGATCGCGGCGGCGTCTCGCGGCGCGCAAAAGCGAATCGAAAAATAAGTCGGAGACACGTGAGAGATAGCGAGTAATGTTCCGTTCTTTCCTTCGTACACACGAGAGACCTAGTCGTGTCACGTCAGCGGCACAGCTGTCGGCGAGATGTTGCGTCGAGGATCGATGTAGACGCACTCGTATCGCTCTAGCTCGCGAATCTACGAAAATACCACGCGGATTCCCCTCGGTTCTTATCTTTTACCAAACAGGAGACAGAGATTTCTTATGAAATTTACATCTTGACACGCGGAACTGTATTAGTAATTCAATTGTTAAGATTAATTCGCGTACCGAAGTTACTTTAGCTTCTCTCCCTCAGCTCATATTCACAGACCTGCACAATATAAAATCTTAATTTAATATGGCCGGTAATTTGTTTTACATCCTCTTTCTCTCTTTCTCTAACGTCCGTCCACCCACTACTCCGTCTCTCCTCCCATTTTGTTATTATAATATACTTACGCACTGTATGACTAGTTTTATATTTAACCGCAATTACGTAGTAAATAGATAATTGCAATCTTATGCTAATTTTAATTATACCTAGTGGTACGCGCGTGTGTGAATGCGTGAGTGTTTGTATCGTTAATACTAAATTCACATTCATCTTTTATGTGTAACGACAACTTTCATTCCTTTCTTATTTCCCCTCACGTATGCAAACGCACGCTCACTCGCTCTCTCTCTCTCGCTCTCTCTTTCTGTTATTTTCATTCTTGTACGTGTAGTATACAATTTCGTGCAAGGTCCGACTTTTTTTTAACATAAAATATATCAAACAGAAAATTAATTAATTTACACCATCGAGCGATTTTAGAGGATATCGTCATTTTTTTTCTGCGAGTAATGCGCACGGAAGATAACAAAGGCTTTTCCAACGCGGATTAATCGCATCTATGTTTGAGTAATGACATTCGCCTCTGTTTTTTCTCGACACAATTATCCTACGATCAACGTTCATCGAACGATAATACTCGTGGATAATATACTCGGACTTTTGTACGATTAAACCTTCCACTATTGATGTTAATGCGGAACTTCTGTTCTGTCTTTGACCATATCGAATCATCTATTCTTGCGACAATTGTAAAGAATACATTGGGTTTTCGGAAAGCGATGGAGAAAAAGGAAACATTTACGTTTCATCGATCATTTGGTGTTTTTGCGTATTTAAATAATCAGTAGAGACTATTAACTTTCATAAAATTTGACCCATGCCTGTTTCATCGTAATAGTATTTTCGATACGTGTCCAGCTAAATCCCTTTTATAATATTACGTATTTCTGACAAATGCTTGACACGCGGAATGACAACGTGTCTGCCGTTAGCTGAGCCTTTAACTGAAAAACACCGCCGCGTTTTGCGTCTCGCGAAATTTTGCTACTCCGAAAAATGCGGCGGAAAGAGTAGATTGTTAGTTCTCTTGTCATGTTAATCGATTATAAAGATATAGCCATCGGACATTTATATATAGGAACGAGTCGCCACACGCGCGATATACAATACGTAGGTAATATCTGAAGCGAGAGCGCCTAATCGGGGGATCCAATGCGCGCTAAAAAACAATCACAATTTTGATTTGTGCGAACATTTATGTACTTTCGCTCTCACCTACTAATCTAATTCTAATCGTGTCAACTTTGAAGATCGCGTCATTAGATTATCATCAGGGACAATCCTTTTTCCGCATCGTGCTCTCAAAAGAATCGGTCCGTTTCAAGATATTCATCTCCGAGAATATCCGGGCGCTCAACGCTCGTTATTTCCTCCGTTACTTTATCTAGTCTTTCTCCCTTTCTTCGTAAACATATATCACGATGTAGCCTTATATAACAAACCTTCGCTTAAAAATGATGACGCGCATTTATACGCCTTATATCGCTTTTTACTAAGAAGCCAATAGGGACAATCTCGAGATATGTTTGTGTTGAGAATAACTTTATGATATAACTACTTATTCCTTACATCGCTTAGGGAAGCAGCTCTTACCGCTTTTGTATATATATATATTTTTTTTTCTTTCTATATGAATTATACATTCAGCAACGCGTTAGCCCTTAATCGCTTCGCGGCGGGTTTTGCATGCCATGGTCGATCTCATCGTCCTCTCCTTCTCATTTTGCAACAAGCAAACGAATATATGCTTCTATACGCTTCATACGATCGTGAGACTTGCGCGTGTATTTATTTTTAATATCTTTTATTAGTCGAAAACCTTGCTCTTCCACCCTCTCTCTTTCTAAATTTCTTGAGGCAGTCTTCGCGCCAGACCGTGTCAGTGTGGTTAGATGTACGGAGTATACGCGGTGCGTTGTGTTCGAACAGGTTGCTGCTAGGAAAAGATTGATCTAATTGTTGCAAGTAAAAAAATAACTGTGCGATAAGCGAATAAAAAGAATAACTCGCGAGATAAATAAATGATATATATGGGGATAACGATGTGATGCTCTCCAAGCAACGATATCTGGTTTTGTTTTTCTATAATTAATAAATAAAATCTGTCTAAACACAAAATTATAATTTCTTAACACAAATGTAACATAGCGCGATTTTGCAGTAACATCCATTATATACGGGGGTGAAATAAATACAGTAACATTATATTATTGCACTCAAGTTTCGCACGAGAGAGGAACACATTTTCTTAATATACTTAACATTTCTTTTGTTGGATATTTGTGGATCTTCCTCTTCGTGCATAATTCTTTACGTAGGCTTGTTTGTTGAAATATATGTGCCGTCCGCGATGTTTGCTTAATTTCGAGTTATTTTTGAAGAAAATTTGTACACACGTATCTTCCGAAATAAAATGAGATATTTTTGAGCCTTGAGAATGAAAACTAGTCCCCGGAGCTCGCGTTGAAATTTCAATGTTTTGAATTACACAACGCAAGTGTGTCTCACTGTTGCCTCTCTATCTTCTCGTTACTATAACTGCTGACGATAAGATTTGTCATGTTCGACTTCAATCCTGTTTGTCGTAATATCGCAGGTGTGTCTCACGCATTTTTTTTGCAGTTCCGTTAAAGCGTTGTAAGCGTTCATCAGAGGAAACCTCTCACCAGAAACTTTGAGCGCTGTCCCATAGGCTCTTGAGACTCGATCGGAACTCGAAGCGAAGGTTCTGGTAGTATCACGCTATGTTATTGCCGCTCATCGTAGTGACGCATTTCTTCTCGGGCGTGTTTTGGCTCTCCGAGTTACTTCGCACCGCTTTTGGCGGGCTGCCTGGCGTAGGTGTCGTATCACCCGACAAGGCATTATTATTGTTCGTCGATGTCGAACTTCTTCTACCGTTCTCACGGGTCGGCGACTTGACATCGAACACGGATGTATCCGACTCGATGTCCGAATCGATCTGAAATCAATAGCTCCATTAATTGACGATAGAAAAACGACCCTCCTAGCATTCGCTATCCCATGCGAATCTCTACAGCTAAGCTTTAAGCTTTCCACAAATAAAAGTTGAAAAGCCAACATTAACCTACGTTAGATTATGAATGAGAAAGGAACGCGATGTGAGGTTTCATCAAACTACCTTGATATGAATGAAGTAGAGATTTAAAAAGCGGTAATTAATATGGCAATGAGTTCGAAGGTGAAGATGGCGGGGATGATGCACTACCTTGTTGAAACAGACTACCTGTCTGGTAGCTGGATGAGGATTGAGAAAGAGTCGTTCGCTAGTGTCGCTGCCGCAGCTCGAACTCTCACTCATCTCTGTGGCGAATTTTCTGGAGGCCCTCGGGCTAGGAGGCGCGGCTCTGCTTTGTCCTCCCAAGTTCATGCCCACATTTCTTGAACACACCTGAGACTGAATATGCTCGCATACTCGCCTAAATCTTCGGATGTTTCCTGCGAACACCGCATTCGTTTCATTGTCCGAACCTTAATTCGATAATTCTAGAACAACAGTTGTATAGTCCTTGGACAAAATCCGAAAACTATCTCATAGGAAAAGTATTATCGAATTAATAGGATTAATATGACTTTTTCGAAAATGAGCATTTAAATTGCGCCTCGAGTGAAGATCTTGCTTATTAAAATATAGGTGGACTTTACACAGTGTGTTTCTGGCAGACTAGACTAAATTTATGAGCCGAGCGACCGCGGCTTGTTCTCGTCGGCCGTAAGAAACTAAATTACCAGACTCGTCGGAAAAAAGAGCGGAATCTATCGCGTCGACATACCGAACGTAGAATATACATGTACGGATAGAACATAAAATTACACGTATACATTAGCTGTACGTGTCAAGGTAATATCGATCTAGTTGCGCTTGGATGACTGCCAAACGCCCAAGAGCGAGGCAATCCACCATGTCCACGGTAGATTTTTGTCAAGGCTTCGTACTTGTTTAAGAAGGCAGTTCAATCTTAAGTCACTTTTGGTTTCTTCGCTCTTTCGTGCTATGTCTGACTTAAGCGTGAAGAGAAGACGATAAGAACGCGACTTGTAACAAGTGCGCTTACCGCTCAGTAACGTGAAGGTGATGGCGAAGAGGGGCTCATTCGGCTGCTTTGAAATCGCGCTAATGTCAACTTGAAATCGCACTTGTCTCTGGAACATGGCTGGCCCGGTACTACCTCTTTTGTACTCCACTCTGAACGACATTGGCGAGCTCACGCTATGAGATAATTCTGCTATCTGCAAACGTCCAGTGTTTGTCCCAAATTGAGCATATCAAAGAGAAACCAATCAAATTGGTATTATTAGAGATTCTAATAAAGTTCTACAACATAGAAGATTCTGGAAACCATAGACGCAATCGTATATTCAATTCCTTCAAATCTATTAGAGATTTTGGAAACAAGTTCTTTAACGACATTTATCGAATGCTTCGCCTATGATTCCCGCAAGCATGAATCCCAAAATGGATAAGCTTCGGGGTACACTTACCGATAAAAAAGCGTGAATCAGATCGGCTTTTACACTTGCTAGCGGTTTTCCTTTGACCAAAACGGTGAAGGTCTCGTCTTTCTCCGTGGTCATCAAACTACCGAACCACGATTTTTTCGTAAGTTCCGGTGAAGAATCCGGTGTGAGTTGTACCTATAATCAATGGAAGCTCGACAATAAACGCAACGTTCAAGCGCCACAAATTGTTATACATACCGCGTTCAACTTTTAACTAATCTTTGCATTTAAAAAGAAAAACTATATCGCCGATTAAAGAAACGCGACTACTAAGTAGCATGTAAAGAATAAATTATATTTTCATTATCTGTTACCGCATACCTCCTCGGTGAGCAATTTACGGCGATGAAATCTGGGGCTGCCCAGGAAAGAATTCTTGATCGTGTTTAATCGCGATCTCCAGTGATGAGCTCCGGATCCCGCTCCCGTATGAGGCGAGCCCGGTGGTGTAACGCCGACTGCAACTACTGCAAAACGAGCCATATCTCAATATCATGTACTTATCCTAAAGGCGTTAAAACGTTAGCCTATTCCGTCTCTTCAATTAATCAGTTATCTTCCGAGATTTCTGTTCGACGTTAGAGGTGATCGTTCGTGACGACCGGTCGAAATAACCAGGCAATCGCGCCAGGCAAATTTATCGCGCCATTTCTGTTTAATTATACAACGCGAGTCCTGTATACAAATGAACATGATGTTGAGTAAAATGTAAGGTACTAATCCGCATAATCACATCGGGAAGTCTATTTGAACATTGATATACAATCCCGCGGTTACGTGATAAATACGAGAGCACTTAACGTAATACGATCTGCTGGGCTTATGGGGTAGTAGTCTTTAAGAGCAGCAGTTAACTTAAGTGATTATCGGTGTTGTACGATACAACCTACGGTACCCGTGCACGTAGGTGTACGTAGACACATACATATAAAGTGATAAAAATTTGAAAATATGTTTCACTTTGAAAAAAGGAAGAGGTATATGGCATAGGATAATATAGTGGAAAAATGTAGCTTCGTGTTACTCCATTTACAGCGATACCAAACATAATAATATGTTAAACTTACCAGGCTGCACTTCATTGAGTTCAATGCCGACATTGGCGAGCGCCGGCGTCGGCGACGGGACGCTTTGACTCGTGGGGCTGCCGCCGTTTCCGGCAATAGTAGTTGTGGTACTGCCACCAAGGGACAGTCTATGGGCACCGCAGGTGATCGCCTGGCCCACGTGTGACGACGGCACCGCTCTGTGGGGACTTAGCAGACCCGCAGGTGCATGCAACGGCGAGCTGCCCGGCGTCGACGTGTGCGAATGAGACGCATGAGTGTGGCATCCACCCGTGCTTGGTGATCGACGCGCGTGATGTCTCATGCTGCAAATAATCAACGATCTAATTAAAATGCGGACTCGCGAGTCGTCCACTTTGAACCACGAAAGAAATTAGTTGCTTCCAAGCTTTCTCTTTTTGGCACTTAATCGAAATGCAATTTGATATTTGCACCTAACGTGAATCGAGGCTTATAATAAGTATAGGATCGACGAAAAAAAAAGAGGGAGAAAAATAACGCGGGGAGACACGTGATACGGTGCACGCGACATGTGTGGATAAGTGACGTTGTCACGCGATCGCTGGCCAGTTTGAAGCGAGCCGCACAGCTGCCTGCCCTTACAGAACAAGCTCTTGTCGAGCGCGGTTGACGCATTAGTTTTATCGGCGAAACACGCGGAAATCGGCTATTCTCAACTTGGTTCCCCACGCAACAAGAATAAAACGTAACGATTAAAATGCACTCTATTCGAATCGACGCCAATTTACCTGGACTGTCTTCTGGGCGTCAAAGGCGAACCGTGACTGATCTGTCCAAGATTGAGCGCGGTACTTCCGTTCACTCTACACGTGTCCACCCGTTTTCTCGGCGGATCGGCCTCTAATTGTCCCGCGGACAATCCCCTCATGCTACTCCTCATTACCTCGAGCTCGTCCTCGCACGCCGGTCTTCTTCGCTTCCTCTCTAACAGCAGGAAGTATATCACCTTCTCCGTGTTGTGGCTGAGAGAACATTTGCGCGTGTCAATTCCCACAGTTGTTTTTCTCAATACTTTTCCAAACTATAATAAATTCAAAGTCTTTCTACGAGAGAGAGCGAGAGAGAGAGAGAGTGGAGTCTCATCTTACTTTGGACTGAGCAGCTCTTGAATGAGTTTGTCGCGCTCCTTGAAGCAACCGAGACTCGCGATCGCCTGTAGCACGTCGGGGTCGATCGCTTCCACGGACGGAATAACATGCGTCTGCACTACGTCCATCATCGACAGTTCTAATTCCAATTCGCCCTTACCCGCCGCCGTTACCCAAATATGCCTATTTATTTCCGTTAACTGAAAACAATTGCCACTTCTTTTAGAGAAAGTCTTATCTCAAGTAAGTTGCTGGGGCGGTTTGCTGAGCCAGGTTGAAAGGGATAAAACGAGTCTTACCGTCAATCTTTTCTCGGGATCGACCTCTATCATGCCTCTGAGCAAATTCTGACACTCGGGTGGCACAAAATGCGGTATGTAAAATAATCCGCGCTTAACTTTTTCCAACAATTTTCTCAGATTGTCGTCGTCGAAGGGTAAGGCGCCTACCAGAAGCGCGTAAAGTATTACCCCACAGGACCATACATCCGCCTTTCTACCGTCGTACTTTTCACCCTGTTAAAAGGAACCAAGTGGTTTTACGCCGCGGAGCTTAAATAGCTGTTTACTCACTTAATATATCATTTCTATGTAATTCGATGTCGCAAGTTGATTGTAATTAAGGGCTCTTACTCTAATGACTTCGGGGCAAGCGTAATGAGGTGATCCGCAACTAGTCTCCAGCATAGAGCCCGCGGGTTGTAAAGACGCCATTCCGAAATCTGCTATCTTAATGTTATTCTTCTCGTCCAGCAACAAGTTCTCAGGCTTCAAATCTCTATGGCTGAAAGTAATAACATAAATCAAGTGTCTGTAAGTCCGATGTCGACAATCACGAGTCGACGATACACGCGACTCACCATATACTATGACTGTGGCAAAAATCTAATGCAGAAATTATTTGTCGAAAAAATCTCCTCGCTTCCTTCGGGGTCAGTCTGCTCTTTTTAACCAAATAATCGAACAGCTCCCCGCCCGACACGTGTTCCAGAACAAGATATCTTGAAAGAACGAACATAGAAAGCGTGACGTTTCTAATAGAAACTTTAAGGTCTCGCAACCTTCGTCAATGCTTACAGATATTTCTTGTTTTCGTACACATCCGAGAGGCCGAGCACATGCGGATGGTCGATCAGTTTCATAATGGCGATCTCACGCTCCACTTTCATCAGCACGGACTCCGAAAGCTTTTCGCGGTTGATAATTTTGATCGCCACCTTCTTGCCCAACACACAGTGCACGCCGAGCTTAACTAAACCTAAAATTAAAAAGAACCAAGTGTTTACTTTATGCCCTGACATAATTTCAAAAATTTTAATTATTACATTAATTTGCCACGATTTTGCGATCGCAGTTGAGCAGAGAATTGACGAAAAAACCGATGGCAGTGAAGCTACCGTTACGTAACGTCAATTATTTAGGGATTGAATTATTCCTCGAGGATGCGATGGTATGTAAACACGCTATTACCCTGGACAAATAAACACAAATTTACTCGAGCGGTTTGACACTTTTCACACCTGGCAAATTCCCAGCGTTTACGCAGCGTTGGCAGGTTTCTACTAAAAAGCATCACTCTTCCAACTTGAAACTTGGTCAATTTGTTATGTAATATTCCGAAATACATCGACACTTTTCAGGTTAATCAAATATAGATCGTTCTATTGTTATTATTCGCCCCGTGTATTCTCCTCATTCAATATACTCCTAATTACGCGCTATTGTATCGGCCGAATCGACAGTAACGTATGAATATCGTTGCTTTAATCAAGCGCGTGTTAATTCGCGTATGATACCAGACGCCTATTACAGCTGCGAAAAATCTTTTGTCGATTAAATTCTTGCGGATTTTACGACGACAGAGAAGACCACGTCGTTTTGTAGCTATGTCTACAGTAATCTGAATTACGGGTCGCATTAGGGACAAATTAGCAGGCACATTACAATTGTAGATTGTACAACGACAAGCGATTAAAAAAAAAGTATGAGATTGAGAAGAAGAAGAGTCGATGGAAAAATGGGATTTATGAGGTTGGTGAGGTTGGAGCACAAAATTGGTTTATTAAATCGGAAGTCCACGACGAGTCGCGCCATACAATGTCTTTATCCACTTAAATGGCTGCGCTACGACGGCCGTGCATAGCTTAAGGCTTAAGCAGATAAACGAAGGGAAGAAGAAAAAAGAAAGGAAAATACCGTAAGAAACCGTTCGTTGTGAGACGACGATGGAGAGAGCAATTAAGAATCGTCGTAACGAAGTCGCGTCTGTCCCGAAGGATTAAAGGGTTTAATTCCAGATAAAGAATCGCGTTGCTTTACACGGCGATTACGTAAAAACTGTGAGCATTATTGCAGGCGGTCGATTCTCGCGGAGTGATCAACGTGTTTTGATTACTCGAGTGAAAAATAATTTTTCACGTGCGCCTCAGCTTCTCTGTGTCTGTATCGCATACATTTATTTACATATTGTCTAAAAATATATTACGTTTCTGTGACGTTACGCCAGAACGTTATAAATAGTTGAAGACACTTTTTATGATCGATGGCCACCTTTCAGCCATTCTCAATCGAAATCGCGCGAGATTAAGTCTCGTCGGTGATTGACGCGATGACAATTCCTATGGAATTAAACGGACGCGACGTTTCCCGTCAAATCCGGTGGCAATTGCATTAGCGGCTATTGAGACCATCGAGAGTTAAAGTGCACTTCCCCCAAACGATTTACGTCATCCGTGATTTAACGGTGTCGATAGCATATGCATTTGCAGAGAGAAACCTTCGGGCTCGTTTTAATTTAAAACATATATTTGCCAAGATATTTTAGTACAACTCGTCGCGCGTATAAACGAGCTGTGTACGTTACATTAATCTCGCAATCTTGAATTTGCTGCGAATACGTGATAAGAAGCAGAGGAGTAAGTTTTATATCTCAAAATATCTCGTGGTTAAAGCATGGCCCGAATATGCCTATGTCAACGTCGATTTTCGAAAACGGTGAATTTCGTACGCCCTTTATAAACACAGTTCGCACAGCAGCAGGTTTGCAGCGGGACTTTTCGCAGCGAGAACCACCGTAAGCGGTTATATCCTTCTTTCTAACGTCTCCATCGATCCCGCCAGTTATAATTCAAACCGCGCGCACTCATGTCGCGAGCATGAGCGGCAATTTCATTACCCCGCCCGCGCGTGGGTCACGGAATTCAAAGCGTGGAGAGGAATTCATTCGTATGATTAACGCGCCGTATTGTCACGTGCCGGAGCATGCACCCCTTTCGAGATGCATACGGGATCGATATAGTCCGCCGGAGGAAATGACCACCGCGAGACTCATCCGCTGAAAGCCGAGCCGTGAATTCATTAACGAGCTTTCGCGAAATTACGTGTTGATCGAACAACCAAATTGTGTTTCGATTTAAATCTCGCATCTATGCTATCTCAGGTAGGATATCGCGAGTTCCGTCTCCGAACCATGGAGTAACACGTGCTTACTGAAAGAGAGACGAACTCTCGTTTCATCTTAATATTGCTAATTTACTCCCGCATTTATACGCCGAGTACACGCCATTCCTTTTTTTCTTCGGTACGCTCGTTGTCGTCAACGTTATTACTTTTCAGTCTCCTTGCTGCGGCATTTCATTTAAAACGTTTATTAACCGCTTCGCAAAGATTTACAATTGTTGCCGAGCTTTTTCTTCGTACGGCGAACGTGACGCAAAGCGGGGACTCTTAAACTTCGAACCGTAACCACATTTGCTATTGGAGTACCAAATTACGAGCTGTACACAGAGCGCTTCAAGAACGAAGAGATATTCAGAAATTAAATCCCTTTCCTCGAGTTCTTCTACTCTTTTATACTCCTTTCGTGGTCCACGCCATTCAGCGACTCTTGTAGAGATAATCTCATTCTGTCAACTTATAATTGTGTAACGACAAACGAAGGTAATTTTCTTATATATTTTATATATTATATCTTATTCAAGTTCAAAATGTTTCTAATTCTCTGCCTACCCATAACTGTTACGTGGCATAATTAGTACGTTGTCAGTATCGATCGTGTAATAGCATCGAATACCTTCGAAGTGAGAGCAAATTAGTGCAGTGTTAGACTTCCTCTTTTGTCTAAATCTTCGATGTGCAGGCTTTCCGTTGAAACGTTTGCATTGTTTTTTTTTCGTTTATTTCTCTCACAATTTGTACGAGCGAAAAGCGCTTTCTATCTAGTTTCTTTAATTACGTTCTAATATATTTTGACAAAAAGAACACTGTCGCAACACATTGTAAGATAAATTGTGACTGCAACTTCTGCTTGCAGAAGAAAACTCGTGCACAACGTGAATCTTCTCTCGACGTATGTTACATGAAATGTATATTCCCCCGAGAATTTGCACGTGTCACAGTTACGCGGTAGGTTGATTGTATTTGAATCGTATTTGAATGCGACACAAGAATAGAACTGCGTGTAGAGAAGAGGGTAGAAGGTTACGATCGGACATTCGAATTGAACCGCTGGCTGAACGAAAATGCATTCGGCAACAGTGCCATAAGGCTAATAGTCTTGTAGCACGGCCACGGAATGGCTTCGATTCGATCCTATTATCGCTACACCGCGATAACTCGCGCTAGTTATCATTTACGTTACAAATTCTTCCGTCCATCGCGATAACGGAAATTTCAATCTTTCAGGTAGATTCAAGAGACGTGAGAAGTGCACACTCGTTTAGGAGGGTTGCGTGAGAATTACACGTGTTGTGTGTCACAATGCGGCAGACCTTGAAGTTTCGCGAGAGTTTCGCGGCAAATTTGTGCCGACCAACGTATCTCTCTGTCGTACAGCTCTGTCGTTTAGATGCGTTTCCAAATAGAAAAGTGTCGCTTCAAAATTGCATCACCGGAAAGCGTGCGTGTGCGAGATCTCGTATGCGCGAATCTTGATTAAACCGACTCGATTAGACATTCCTGTGGTCGTAATCGTCGATCGTAATAACGATTGCAACGGAGATTTGTAACGAAGAGGGGGGGGGGGACGGGGAGGAGGAGGAAGAGGAGGAGGAGAAGAGAGGTGGAAGAGGGAGAGACCGTGCACCACCCACCAGTCTGGCCTTTCCCCAAGGTCTTTTCCAACCGATACGGGCCGACGTACTGATGGGTCTCCTGGGTGTTGGACCCAACGGGGCTCTCCTTGCCCTGCATCGCCGCCGAGCCGCTGCCTTCCTCTTGGTCCGCCAGGATGAAGGGTTGTCCTGTAAAAACGGCCGATGTCGAACGTATATCACGATCCTTTCCCTCTTTCCGCACTCTTCGCTCGTCGTTATCACTTGCTCGCGAGGTCTGGTACCGGTCTACCGTGTTCTATCGCGATTTCACGCGACATCGCGCCCTTTATCATGGTAACTTGCGATGGAATATGGAAAGTGCCACGAGGGTAACTCAACGAATAACTTAGTTTCGTTTGGATAGCATTTCGAAGACAATCCGTGCGATATGCGCGTCAAATGTCAGTTTATCGCCGGTATTGGTCGATCCCTTCTGAAAAAGCATCGCATACTCGACTCGAGGAGAAATGATTTACGAACGTGGTCGGATCGCCGCGGACTCTCTTCCGCCCCGTGCATCCATCTCACTGTCGTTAGCCGAGATTTTGGCCCGTTGGACGATAGGCGACGGTAGACACCGCCGAATACTCCCTGGGCGGGAGCATCACGCACCTGACGCACTCACCGCGTGCACTATCACTGCGACGATCTGACATAATCTTCTTTTATCTTTGGCGGATGCCTCTTGCGAATTCTTTTCATGTTGCCTCTTCCACGCGTGCACCGTCGAGACTACCGGAGACGTGGTTCGAAGGAAGGACAATTAGCTGCAGGTAGTCCGCTCATTTGAACGAGCGGTGCATCGAACGGCGGCGGGCGATAGGCACCGGGGGATGTACGTCGATATTTATCAAGATGCCTGCTGCTGTTGCATCAGTCGATCGTGGCCGGCCACGATTCCACGAACACGGAGTTGGGCGCCATTGTGATTCGAGAAGAGACCTCACGGTAGTCTCGTCGGGGACGTTGCTGAAAACGTTGCTGACCCCGCAACCAAATCGGCCGCTCTTGATTCGGGCTGGCGGCGTCGCGGCTCCTTCACCTTACGACGGCTCTCCTCGGTTCGCCAACCCTTGGCGATCCTCGAGAAAATCCCATTTACCTCTCGCTGACACGCGATATCCACCCTGCTTGGCACTCGCGGGACGTCGTGTTTGGGACTTGTTTCCCCAGCCGCGTTGAGGGAGCGATCACCCTCCTTTCCTCGAGTCGCACTATCACTCTATCCCGCGTGCACTCGTGCACCGAACATATCGCTACGATTCAGCGATTAGCGGCGTGATTGCGCTCGTGGCCGGGCTGCCGAAATCGGAACTCTCTATCACGACGGGGAAGCTCTCGCGACGAATCCCTCCCTCACTCCGCGTTTTCACCTCGCCCCTGTCTCCTTCCGTTTCGGCTAAACTATCTTCTCATTTTAGAAATGAAATTTAGCCCCGTCTTACGGGACTGACGACGGCCACCACGGCGCTCCCAGTTCGATTATGTACCGGACACACAGAGGGGGTAGATAGTGCGCGCGCAACCCCACGCCCGCGAACGGGGAGATCCTTTCCGCCCTCTGCGTACATGGGGAACCACCACCGACCGAAGGCGACGGGAGGGTGTCAGACAGGGCTCGGGAAAACGTGGCGGAGAAAGCAGCCGCGTGTCTACCTTCGGGGTGGTAGAGTGTGCGATACGCGGGGGTGGCCGCCGTCGGTACAAAGACGATCGCCGATGGTTCGCGTCCGGGCTCCAGTTCGTGGCTGAGTGAATTCTCCCTCGTGCGAGGGTGTTCGGAGCTCGTCCTTTTTTTCCGCTGCTAATTTTACCTTATTCAGATGCCGCTAAATAACCTGTTATTTTGCACTCTTCCATTAAAAAGTGATTCACTGTACCTCGGGCTGGCTTTCAAACTTACGCGTTATACACTAGGTAATATATTTGTACGTCAGTATTTTTAAGATAATATGTAATATAACGTGTGTATGTGTGCGCGCGCGCGCGCGCGTGTGTACATGTATATTTTTACTTTTGTCCTTTTTGGGATAACTAAATGAATACTATTAAAGTTTCTGCATAATTAATAACAATCTAATCTTGCTCATCATGTATGTTTATTGCAGCGGCACGTGCGTTTAATTGAGTTCGACAAGCTGACGATTAAAATATACGTGCCGAACATTTACTACTTTCCATTTATCGGTTCGAACGAGTAATAATACCTCGCGACAAAGTCCGAGCTATATTGTTGTCTCGTAGAGAGAGAGTCGTTTCCGTCTCAAACGATAAAATGTGATTTCTCTGCTGGCGACAGAAATGGAATGCCGGAACTGCATTCCATTGATGTAACTCACTCGACTGTCAACGTTTTAACTGACTGTGACGGAAACTAAGGGGTTGTCGACTCAGACGCGGACCTAAACTACTCTCGTCCTCGTTATCGCGATGGAAAGGATATTGTTCTTTGACAAATTATTTAATTTGATTTTATACCACCAAACAGCTATGGCGTTAAGTATAAAAATAGAAAAGAACAATAATTATTTCTTACACTTTTGGACAATGCATTAAATCGAGATTGTTGTAGCTCAAGCCATAAATTATCAAATTTATTTAATATAATATTTGAGATATTTGAGATGAAATGTACGTGATGGCATCTACGTGATATGTTTCAGTAACAGGATCAAAAGGTTCGTGTTCGAGGTTTCGCTACCACGCACGTTTTGTATTATTCATAGTCGAATAAGATGGAATAAAACCCGCAAGGTCTGATTTATCCTCTTTGTACTGATTAATTGTTTATTAGCTAAATTATTAAGAATTATTTCATGGCTTTCTCCCGAATTTAATAACAGTAGCAATATAGACAATTGTATCAATTGCTTAGTATTGTGCGTAAATTACTAATAGCTGTATTAATTTTTCCAAGTCGGGTCTTTCAATATTGTAGTAAACTCAACATCACGGCATGAAGCGTATTAGAAAACGATTAGTTAAATCACCTTGATTGAGCGAAGATAGCTCTATTTTGACAATGCAAACAAACCGTAAGAGAAAAACTTGCGAAAGAGAGAAAGGATTCCTTCTAATTGTGGTATGAATCTGTTAAACATAGCAGTTAATTCTTTCGGAGAGGGAGGGGAGGAGAGAGAGAGAGAGAGAGAGAGAGAGAGAGAGAGAGAGAGAGAGAAAAGTATTTAACGCAGGCACTTTTCTCGATGAGGCGCGTGTATAAATATGCAAGGAAAATTACCTGCGCCATGGCGTGAGTTAGCTATGAGGAGGGCTACTTGTATAGCGGCAAAGAGTAATGTACAGGGTGATCCATTCAACCTGAATATTGTATTCTACGTTGCTTAATATTTCTGGTACCTTAAGTACCGAAGGTAAGTTGGATTGCTTCCAACTATAAAGACAGCTTTGTATTTTACTGTTTTCTAACAAAAGTGCCTTTAGTTTTATTAAAATTGATGTCGCATGTCTTTTCTGTTTTGTCTTTTTTACATTTGGACATCAAAATAAAATTAATCAATTTGAACAACAATGCAAAATTTATTAAATGAAAATATTATTTCATATTTCAAAATTACTAACGGAGTAGTTAGCAGTTAGTTAAAAGAAGATATATAAAAGGGAACCAGTCAAGTGAACCACCCCATAGATTCAGTCAGTGAGCGAGAGAGAAAGCTACAGCGTGATAAAGAGACGGGATTATAGGGGGAATGAGAGGAAGAGAGGGATAACAGTCGGTGGCACAAAGAGGAAGGGGTGCAGGGTGCTTAGGATCGATAGATATATAGAGGCAGAAAGGAACACAGGAAGCGTCTGACACCTGGGAAACTCCTGGGGATGGTTTCTTACGAGGTGATTCAACTCAAACTAACAAGCAAGTTTTTCAATACCGATCGATAATTCGACAATGTGTTTTTGTATCAAATCAAATTTTCCCATATCAGCGATCACAATGTAGGACTATGACTGATATATCGACATTCATTATCACTCGAAATTATTATGCAAATAGATTTACATAAAGGCGATGCAAATTCATGCGTTTTATTTCTCGAAATAAAACAGTAACGGTATAAAATAAATAAGTATGCATTATTTTTAAATTTTTCCAGAAAAAATGTCATCTCTTTTTTTCACCAACTATTAAACGACAATTTAATGGACGGAAATTTTCATATTTTTACTGTTTTAAAACTTGCTGCTGTCATCTATGTTGCAAATATTCTAGATTATCCAAATTCAGGTTAAACATCAGGAACGCGCGGGCTTGAGGTTTTGACAGCTCAAGTACAAGCGATTAATTGACCTGCCATCATCCCTTTACTGTCCTTTGCAGTGCATGACTAGATGATAATTGTCATAAGTACGCACAGTTAAATTACCATGAATCGCTGAAAATGTTTGGCCCTCTTATTACTCGTTAGAAGTTTACAGAAGCAAAAATTTGATAACAGAGAAAGAAAATGTTACATGTAAGCTTGGATATATGTTGGAAAACTCGTGAAATATTCGGCTAGGAATAGCCGAGATTAACTCGACAATTTTACAGCGGGATATCCGGTATATGTCGAGAGATGAATATCACGCTAGAGTGGTACAGACACAGTTTATCCGCACTGTCAACTCGGGGGATTAAATCCCGATGTGACCGTCTGTGAAATTTTCCGGGGAAGTTATGATCAGTTCTGAAATTTCGCCAATGATTCAAGTTTTAAGACACAAAGTTCTTAAAAATTACACTCCATGCATTGTACAATACTTGTGTGCAATGTTCGCAAAAATCCGACAGAGTTTTAGATAAATATTGTAATTTATAAAGAAAGCGTGATATAAATATGCGTGGGGCGTATACGAAATAAAAATTTCACTGATATTTTCTAAAGAGATATATTAAAAAATATATATATTTTAAGGATTCGCGACCGTGTGTGTGTGCTCTTTTATGAGTCACAGTTCGTAAATGTGATATTCTTCTCATGGGGATGAGTAATACATAGAAGGGGGGCGCGGAGTGCTAACATGCCGAAGCAAGCAACGGATGCTTAAAGCACCCCTATGACCCCTCCGTTTCTCATCTTCTCTCTCGTGTCGTTTCCATTTCCCTTCTTTCACGTATCTTCCAGGCAATATCCTTGACATCTTTTGGAGAAAAACTTTTCGTCATAATAAATTTAATAGAATTATTAGCATTGGATAACGTTAACGACAGATGTGTCTCCTACGATGATTATGATATTGACGTATGTTAATGTAATAGACACACTTACATTTGGAGTATGTGTGCGCGTTAAACGCATCGAGAGTACATAATGTAGTTTGATTTATGCAGTTGCTAAATGCGATCTCTATTAAGCATATACTTGGTATATGGACTCCGGGAATGTGGTAAATCACGGGACTATAGCATCGGGTACGCTCCCACGGGATACAATAATATAATCGCGCCCCAAAGTGCCAAGTTTGACATCGCGTCGATGTTGGTACGAACTCCAGGAATAATTAACAACCTGACTCCACGTTTCTTAAATGCTCGACTGGCGTCATCCGTCGTTGAGGAACACGCCCGGTTTATCTACAGATTAAACTTATTTCTAAATTAACAAAGATATATGTATACACATATACAATCGCTTTATTGTAAAGATAAGAGAGGCACGAAGTCTCTTGAATATTTCAAATATTTAGTGAATAATCGGAACGTCGTTACACCTCATCTTCTTCGTAAAGTAGAAATTCTTCTCGCTGAGTATTCGGTGGTTGCTTCAACAAAGATGTAACGACTACCCTCATAGGCGTGACAACTCACGTGTCTGCCCACGCAGTAACTCGTGCATACACGTGAAACCGAGCACGTGAATAGGGGAGTAAGGCTTTGATTCGGACTTTCGAGCGACTCCACGAGAACTTTACGAGGAGGACAACGAGGGTCGATGGTACTCTCTCCACACGTACAAGACCTCGGGGAAATCCTAATATTTTAACCAGCAGCGAAGTAAAGGACTCGCGCGAGCGGAGCAGTGAAAGGGAAATGGGGTGTTGTGCCGCGAGTCATCCCTGCGTCTACATACGTAGATATCCGTATGCGGTATGCTTCCCCTGGAGGGAAGTACTTGCAATTAACGCGCTAAGACTCGGCTGTTGCAAGGGTTGCGCCACTTCTTCACCCTCCTCGGCTTCTTTCGGCTTCGATTCCCATCCGAAGTGAGCTTGGGGGAGACGAGGCGGAATTTCCGCTCAGTTATTTGTCAGCGACACGTATATCGTTTTCGCACCTGTAACGCTGTTACGCGACGAACGATGCTGTTCGTTCAAATCATTCTTTTCCTCGCAAACATCCTTCCTATTCTTATAATAAACCAACTCCATTTGAGCAAAATCGACGTGCCCATTCGAGGGTGAATTTCTTTCCCCAGGCCGGAAATGCAACTTAGTCATCGACTGTCTATTGTGCCGTCACTAAGTGCATACCCGTGTAAACGGTTCTGACGGTACGATCATCTCGAATTTTCAGATATCTTACGTAATATTATCGTAACCGATTTTGCTCGTATGCTTCCTACAATTGTAACATCGAGGCCTTTATACGAGGAAACCGTTTTAGAAGAACTATAAAATAACATATAGTTTCGTACTCGCCTATGCTATTTTTATCTGTCTAAAAGGTGCGACGGGAAAGATAAGTTTGAATACTACTTTTAATATCAGTTAAAAAAAACTTTTCTGGGTATAATCATAATTCGATGTCTTCTCAACAGTCCTCCATCTACGCGTCACGTGGTGAAAGATTGCTGAAGAGGTAGCAAAAAGGAGAAAGATTCGACTATTCCTGCTGACGCAACGTTCGCTCTCGGAACTACTTGCAATTTTTTCCGCTTTCAGTGTGAAAAAGTGGAGAAGACGCCTCTCGGGCACCGCAAAACTGTCGTCGAATGAATAGAAAGCTCGAATAGAACTCTACGGCCCCGTTCCTTGTCCAATCTGAATCCTTTCACTTTTTAACCCAGTTTCCATTGTTACACTACTAAGCTATTCACGACCGCTGATTACCAAACTTTACCTATATTAGTTAATCCTATATCGGAGTTTCTTTTCATTTTTTTTATCATTAAATATATGCATAATGAATAATTGATTTAATTCATATATTATCCCTGATGAAATTATATCGAAACGTATAACATTTGCAACGAAAAAGTTAGATTTCCTGTATTTTCGTGTTTTTTCAACTTCCGTGTACATGTATTAGGTATACATTGGTGCAAAAGTGAAAGACGTGTGTAACGAATGATTAATAGAAATCCTTGACGCTCCTTGGCCATCGTTCACGAGCACCTTGCTTCTGTCACAGTTCACCTTCGAGCGGAATAACTCGTGGGCGTAACTTCGTCTCAAGTAAGTCTTACATGTTTTCACGAGAAAATAGGGTAACTGTGTATCTACATACGCGAATCGTATCATTACTCCCGGACATCGTTACAATCCAATACAGCACGCATGTCTAAAAGACATCTTTAAGTTGACTTTTAGACATACATATTTAAAAGACGACTTAAAGATGTCTTTTAGACATGCGTGCTACATTGGATTGTAACGATGTTCGGGAGTAATGATACGATTCGCGTATATGTAGATACACGGTTACTCTATTTTCTTGTGAAAACATGTAAGACTTACTTGAGACGAAGTTACGCCCACGATTTATTCCGCTCGAAGGTGAACTGTGACACAAGCAAGGTGCTGTATGGGATATTACGAATATCTCTTTGCACGAGGGTAATCTGTAACGGTTGCACTAATTAAATGTACGTTGCAAACATGCCCCGCGTTTTGAAGCGCTGAAAAGAGAAAATGAAAAAAAATGTTACCGTAAGGAAAATCTCTTTTAATCGAAAACGTAAAGAGAAGGATGGAGATCGATTTAGCTCAAGGAACGTAATGCGGCGGCACAAAAGTCCAACTTTCACGCGTTCTCTCACGCGAGAGAGAAAGGTACGTGAGATCCAGATGGAGATCCACCGCTCTTCCTCTTTCTCGCTTTTTTTTTATCCAAGTTATTGTTTCGTCTCTTTGTCGCGTGCGAGACCACAATCACAGAGCCGCGATCTCTCTTTCTCTCACGGATTGCGTCAATTTCCTTATCGTCACAGTTGCCCCACTCGCGGCAAGTGTTTTCATTTACTTCGGTCCACTGCGAGCGAGCGCCAAGCGTACTAGTATCATATCTGATATCGCCGCGTGAGGTGTTTCTCTTCCGCGGGACTGAATCTGCGAAAAAAGATTTTTTTCGAACAATTCTCCCAAAATCGCGACAGCCGACCGCGGCGAGACAGGCATGAGGACCTTCTGGACCATCGTCCTCCTTTGCGTCATCGCCGCGATCGTAGCGGTGCACGCCAAGCCCACGATTTACAAGAGGAACGAGGATAATGTGTTCGAACCAGGTAAGCGAAGGATCTGTGTATCATTTGAATGCGTTGCAAATTCATTTAAATACTATTTGTATTTTTCGCTTGAAAAAGATAGAGAGAGAGAGAGAGAAAGATTTTGCGTGTGTCAGCGCGAATAATAACGCGGGTTGCGGCACGTATACGAGTCACATGTTTTCCAATGCACATCATTTATTTCCACACGTCTTTAGTCTGACTTTTTCTAAAAGCACTAATAAAAAATGGATCCTCTTTCCACCCTGCATTAGAAATTGCCCCACGAGCCGGTTGAGTTTTCTAATGGCTTTGGCAACCGGCGATCCTGATGTGTTAATTTATCTCGACAAGGATGATCCTTTTGCAGTTTTTTTTTTGCAAATAGCAGAGAGAATAATTACGCTTTGTCTCGCACGAGTCGAAATATCAGCGCGATGCACGTATGAACGAGTGTTTGAAAATTTTTGTAATTTGAAAATATATTTTCAAATTAGAGAAATCCACTAACGCGCAGCGCACGGAAATATTTCCATGCGGAGAGAAACTTTCGCTAAAATAATTACCAGGATTTAATTAGCGCCAGGAGATCGCACCTCAGGAGATCCTTCTCTCGTGCTGCGCTGATTTCTCCTATAAACATCGACCGCATCTCCTGCACCTTGACGATAAATGTGTGTTAACAAAAAGGAAAGACCCGAGGCGCAATGTTACCGACCATATAAAGAGCGATCTCCCTCGAGGATTCCGAATTTGCGCGAACCGATATTCGACAGGTGAGAGGAACGGGACGGTGACGTCAGTCAAGATAAACGCGTAGGTTTCAATTAACGAGGTCTACATATATCGCACCTTATTGACGCGGGACATTCGTCATTGCCTTAATGATCCGGATCTCTTTATTGTTATGCGAACGTCATTTGGATTTTCCGATTTCTTGAAATGTTTCTACGCGAACGAGCGCAGCGATATCTTTTCTAATCTTTCTTGCCGCCGGCGCGAGCGGTTGGAAAGGCGAATCGCTAAATAAGGAAAACGCCCACATGTAAAAGGTGTTAATAGAAGTTACATATATGTAACTTCGTGTCCTTGAATTGTCGTTACAGCGCAAGAGGGGGTTGGGGGGGGGAGGGGGACAGATGCGTTTCTCGCTGCAACCAAGTGCAATCGTCGCTCGAGTGAACAATTCGAAGGGATTTCTCTGTGGTGGAACACCGCGTAGTAGGTGTACACTTGAATTCATTCTAGGGTGAACGGATACAGCTATTATAATGCACATTGTGGTATACGCAAACGAGATCTGGGCAATATAGATCAGATGCGAATGCCAGCGAAGATATAGGATGAAATGCACGACTGTTACGTTGCTCCGTTTACACATGCCGGTGTTGCGATTAAATAAATTGATATAGATATTCGATTCGGTATGATATTTGCGGTACAAAGAGCTCTTAATTACGCAAACGACACGCGATCGCTGTAGACGTGACATTTGCTTGTCGTCTTGACATTTCCGTCGCTCAATTTTCGACCGTCCCAACTTTCTACTTTTTCTTGCACGTGGAGTGATTCACTTTCACTATAATACTCTTCGCTTTAATATACTTGTTTATGAAAATTTACACCGATTATTGACAATCGAATAAGATAATGCAAATTATTAAGCATTGATAATTTAATCATTCGAGAGACAAATGTGTGCATTTAATCTGAGAAATATATATGTATATTTCAGATCATTCTTAAATTTTGCAATTCGTAATTTCAGATTTTCAGAATTATAATTCTTAGAATCTTTTATAGATAGTGCAACTTCCATGAAAATCATATTCTTCTGATACTTTGTGAATTGTGGAAATTTTTTATTTTTTTTCACGACTCCTAAAATCGCGAAAATCAATATTATCAATATCGATCCTTTTGTATGTATTATGATTAATAAAAAAGCAAAAATTCTAGAAATTGCACATAAATTTTTTTTAGTTGCTACCTGTTTTTTAATTCTTGTAATAATTTTATAAATTTTTGAATATTGAAACTCTATCTTTTGTAAAATAATTGATAAAAAGTGTACTTTATGATTATCTACATAAAAAAAATTTTGTTTAATTTTCAGTAATGATACCCGTTTCATCAACAGTAATTCCATTGCCCGTGTACAAAGTTGGCTACGGCTTGGGCTTTATATCGAAAGATAAGAAGACCCAATCATCCAAACCGGAAGGTGGCATAAAGCTGATTACGAGTAAGTATAATAATCCTATAATAAAAGAAGAAGTTAAATAAAATTACGAAATCTTGTTTTTGCAACCAACTCTTATTTTACGCAACTTTCTCTTTTCCTTTTATATCAGCAGATCGCAACGCGCGTAACAAGCCGGTGTACATGAACTGAATTGTAAAATATATCTTATTCGTGAATGTTGCGCGAACGTACATGGTTGCACGAAAACTAATTTTTTACGTAATTCAGAAAAGCGACTTTCTGCATTATCGTGGTAATTAATATTGATTTCTGTCTTTTTCTAGTCAGCAAGATCCAAGAAAAGATCTAATACGATGTAAATGCTTTAAATTATGTAATCAAGTAATATTTATTGGAGGCGTACATCTTCGGAGAATACAAGCTGTACTGAAACTCTGCGAAAAAGCGCTCTGCGTTCTTCATCATTTCTTCATATCACAACAACCTCCTGCAAGTACTCGCTGTCTAATTTAAAAGCACTACACCAAAAACAGACCTCTACATATGTTAATTATAATACTTTTATCATCAAAAGTATGCATTTGTTGTCTTTAAGATATTAAATCAAAATTAATAAGCAGACTTGTACAATATTGTATATACGAAGTTACTTGTATGTATATTTACCTTACTGATTGTGATTCAAGACGTTTAAAAGCTTAGCTTAGAGATAGAGAGGATAATGCAAAACATGTATAATTAAAAATAATATGCAGTATTATATGTATATGTATAATAGTGACAGCGAGACAGAGAAGAATACATATTTCCACTATCTTTACATTAAAAAACTTTTATTGTAATTAATTCTTGTAACTTGTAACTTAATTTAAAAAAGGTGATTTTTTTGTACATTGTACTACAATGTATTATGAAGAAACGTCCATGTTATCTTCAGCAGCTAAAATAGTTAAATACTTATAAAAGTCAAGTACAAATTATATACTCACGATCAGATATAATGGTACAACTTACGGAATTCATTGAACATAAAATCGTCTTGATATTCCTTGAGAAATTGCGTAGATCTATTCTCATCAAGAAATAAAGAATAGACACGCTTGACATCCTCGATACTGACCTATATAGAAATTGAAACGTTACAATACATATGGTATCATGAAGTGCATTATCAGCGACATTACATCGCCTACGTACTTCTGTAGATTTTCTTCGGCGGCTGACGAGAGAAGCCGTCGTAATTAGCTGTATCGCGTATCTCAGCGACGTTTCCAAAGCGATCCTCGTTAATACGGTGAGAGCATCGTCGGCCATTTCGCAATCTTCCTCTTCGCATCTTATTTTTAAGATTTCTTTTAGATCCTTTTCTTGGTACGGAGTCGTGAGGACGATAATCATACGATCCAACAAGTCAATAGGAATTCCATGGGGGCTTCTATACTTTGTCCCTCTGATTCTTGTGACACCTACATAAATGTGGATTTAACAGTTAAATAACATAGATATAGTTTAACATAACAATAGAGTTGATTATTCGTATTTGTACCTCTATTCGTTGCCATAATTACAACCGGAGCCATTTCATTCTCCAATGCTCGATTTAAAAATGCGAAACATTCAATATCCAACATATGCACTTCATCGATAAAGAGTACACCCGGAACTATTTCTGCCTTGCCTTCTTCTCGCCATTCCGCAACTTTAGCGTTTATCTGATCTCGCACTTCCGATTTGATCTCCCCGGTATCTCCGGAGAATAATGCTAAAAAGCCATGCGTTCTGCTGTTTATCACATCAACTTCATGCAATGTCACGGTGTGCACAACTTCCTTGCGTTTCTGCAACTCGCCCTCTGGACATTGCACGAAACGCGTTTGCGAACCCGTCGCATCGTAATCTCGAGCTCTGGTGAAGGATCGTCCAAGTCTATTGATCTTTCCCGTGGCTTTGTCAATCGTAATGACATCGCCAGCCTGTACCTAAGAGTGATAGAAAACAAAATTAGAAATCCAAGTTAAACAAGAGATGCTTAATCTGTTAAATATACCAACTTTCTCTTTCATTAAGGAATCAATCATTTTATTTCCCAAATCATAAATTGTTTCCATCTCGGTAGTCTTCAATGTCAATTTGCCGACTTTCACTCCAATTCCAGTTGCTGGCCTGTCAACTTGAATCTCTACTACTTCACCCTCTATAATCTCCGTCTCCTCTTTTATTCTAACTCCGATAGACTTCCTGATGGCTTGAGTCAACGCCTCTGTTTTACTCATCTCTAAAGAGTAAATTTCTGAACCAGCCATTGCTGTGAAAGGAGTATCCGTGCCCAAAGCTTGCGCCATTCCCATAGCAATGGCAGTCTTTCCTGTGCCGGGTTGTCCGGCTAATAAAATAATGCGACCGGCTATTTTACTGTCCTTAATCATCTCCATGACAACGCCGGCAGCTCGACGTGCCTTGAGCTGGCCAACCATGCCTTGGGAAACCTAATGACCATCAATTTTCCTTTTTATATCGTGTCGTTTACAATTGATAGAAATTATCTAGGATATTTACATTGCGCGGCTCTAAACTATCGTTCAATCCTAGACCTCTGATATGAGAGTGGGCACCGATACGCTCTATCTTGGTGATCTCACGGACCTCTTGCACATTAGTGACAATCTGAAAGGCATAGTAGTTACATTTCTCCTTATATAATTGACAAATTATTGCAGTCAAATTGATCAAACAATTGGTTGCTATGACAATCGATATTCAATATTTATGTCTTCTTTTACAAAAGCGGTATACATATTTCTATACGCAACATAATTATATCATAAAACAAGCATAAATACATAGCATAGTGCAAATAAAACTCTATTTGTGTGTATAGACATAAAGGCATGTATAGTAAGAGAGGTACAGGTTAATCGGGGAGCGTGGATAAAAGTCTTGTTTTTCTTGTCATAACGTAATAACGAGATTATAGGAGAGCGAATCATTTTTCATCTGGATAAATATACTTATGGCAGATATAATTATGGCAAATATAAATAAAAAATCTTACCGCCATGCTTAGTGATAATTCTGCTTTCCAAATTATACAAAACGTGACCGAGACCGTTATCCGGGCTGGTCTGGGCTGGGGTGTCAGGATTGGTTAGTTCTCGAGACATAGAGGTCTGTCGCGTCGCATCCCCGTATTGGTCCAACTCTAGAGATGTGCTGTTACTAGAGTCCCTAGAAATCGTCTTCTCCTATTGGATTTCGTTCAATCAATGACGTAATTATAGTGTCTGCTCGCGCGAAATACTCTCGTAACATGAGAAAATGCTTATAACATGGACCATGGACGTAAGAATATATGGACGGAGCGTAATGTAGAATTAAGGACGAGGGGGACCCAAGCGAGCGCGGTGAGGGGAAATTGGGTGGCGGCCACGGTCCCAAGTAAACCTTATGGCGTGGTCGCTCTCAGGTTTCTCTCTGTTCGTATGTATCCACTTCTTTTTATCCGCGTGAGAAAACGCTTATATTATAACACTCGTCGCACACGACAGACTGCGTTCCGAAACTCGTAATTAAAAAATTGGGACAACTTTTCCGACCTCACGACTTTCTCTCCCCCTAGAGTTCCTAGTGATAAAAACGGAAATTATGCGCCGGCGGAAGTGGCGGCTACGGTCACGGCCTCGCGCTGCCGAAGCGGATGTCATCGCCCAAGAGAGCGAGAGAGTAATGGCGTCCGCGGCGAGCGCACGATAGTCTCGCGGTTCGTCTGTTACACCTCGAGCTGGATGTTGCGGCGATCGGCTTGGCGACCCTAGCTCTCACCGTTTCCATCCAAGGCTCTCTCCCTTTCGTTCTATCCTTCTCTCTGTCTCTAGTCTACGATCGACCGCGTCTAGCCGCGAGCGAAGCTCGAGAGCGTTTCGAGACGATACGAGGATCCGCGAAAGCGTGGCAGCCGAACTGGTGGTTGTGTGTACGTTCTCCACGTTCCGCGCGTCGTCAACGGAAAGAAGGCGACTTTGAGTTCGTAAACGTTGGTCGAATCGACGCTATAATCCCGCTCGACTACTCCAGTCGATCGATAATGGACTGAAAACTTTTGGAATCCTACATTTCATCGTTGGACATCGTTGTGGATTTATCCCGTGTGCTACATGGAGTAACGTGACGTGTACGTGTCCTTTTTGTCCCGCTCGATTCGTCAATCGGCTATTTCATTTACAATTATCATTGGAAAAGCAATTTCTCTCTCTTTTTCTATCGATAGAAATACAATTCTTACGTTTGAGTCAATGGATAGCAGGAGGAATACCTATACAGGCTCCTTTCGAAAGCATCTTTTTCACCAGAAATCATTACAAGCTGGGACGATTTTAATAAGCATTAAATAAGTAGATGAACAAAGAATGCAATGTGTAATTATGTTACTATTGCCTAATGATCTTTCATCTAGGTACTTGTGATTCGATAGAATAGATTGCTGAAAAATTGCAATTGTTAACCAATAGTTAATTTACTATGCTCAAAAGAGAAGTGTTTCTAGAGTGTATTTTATGTCGACGATGAAGATTAATGTATTTTGAATACTTGTTTTTGCAGGATTCTCTTCCAGAATGGAGCCATCAACCGACGTTAGGTCCATTACCGTCATGAAACACGTCTGACCCTCGTTGTTCGTTCAAGTTGGACAACGTTTAATTGAAAATTGCCTGTATTTATATTCTCTCTCTCTATCGTAATGTCTGCGAATACTCAATTTGCAACTCCGCCGCCAGCCGTAAGCTTACCCAACATGTCTGTGCCGCCACCGACGACTCCAAATTTGTCGGCGCCACCGCCGAATTTAACCACTATAAACACATCGGGAAACTATCAGCATCGGTATGCAAACCATCGAGAGAGTAATCGCGGTTTCTTCAAGCCGTTTCGACCTTATCACGCCCCAAAAATTGTCGCTGGGGGTCAAGATACTTTGCAAGATGAATTTGATGGAAAGAGACTCAGGAAATCCGTCATGCGAAAGACAGTTGATTACAATTCGGCCATCATTAAAAGTTTAGAAGTAAGTGTACTCTCGTCGCACTATTTATTGAAATACTGCAATTTCAACGTCTAACTCGTGTCTAACTTTTTTTTTATAGAATCGAGTATGGCAGCGAGACTATAGGGATCGTCGCGCGCTGCAGCCAGATGTAATATATTATCCCGATTTACTCCCTCCACCAAGTTATATTGACAATCCAATAAATGCAGTTACCACGAGGTTCGTAAAAACGGCTACGAATAAAATGCGTTGTCCAATTTTTTGTATGGCTTGGACACCAGAGGGTAGACGTCTCGTCACCGGCGCTTCGAGTGGAGAATTTACTTTGTGGAATGGCCTCACTTTCAATTTCGAAACTATTTTGCAGGTACATTTTGTGCTATGCGTTTGTGTTTACAATTAATTGATTGAAAATTACGTCTCCAAGACAATTAACACGCTTGTATAATAATTTTGAATGTTATTTCATTAAATGTCGAAAGGTGAAACTTTGTGATTGCGATTGCAATTTCTAGTTCTGAGCAGCTCCTACAAAATGTCGATTTATTAACTTGCTGTAAAGGATATAGTTTTTAATAAATATTTCGGTTGTATCGCATACTACAAGTTGAAATAAATTTGTCTGTTTAGGCACATGACAGCCCAGTGAGGACAATGGTATGGTCACACAATGAAAGCTGGATGGTAACAGGAGACCACGCGGGCTACGTGAAATATTGGCAGAGCAACATGAACAATGTCAAGATGTTTCAAGCGCACAAAGAAGCGATTAGAGGACTCAGGTATATCATCCACCACACTAGTCCTTACGTCTCTTGCGTCACTGTTGCCGATGATCGGTCCATCCTTGCCGTAGTTAGGATATCGGACGTGACTCTTCTTCTCTTCCTTTTCTGGTTTTGTGCCGTTTCTGGCAGAGCAATAGTGATTCTTGTATGGGTACACAGGTGAACTTTTAACATGTCTCGATATAAAGCATTGGATCGAACGTAATGAGATATAACGTCCGTCGTGACTTCACCATGGAATGAACCATGTTCGTGAAAAACGTTAACTGTTAAATGCCTTGAAATTTAATTCGTGGGAGAAAGTTTTGATATCTTTTGCCGAATTAACAGATTTTCGGAATGGAAAGTAGTTTCCAGTCGTATAAAATACTTTCGGTATATAGTGGCAAATTATAGTTTTAAATTTCTCTTAATATTGTTTATATTTTTTAAGTCATCTGAATTCAATTTGCAAAATAATAAGTAAATATTTTTACCCCATTTTTTATCGCGACATAAAAATTAATACACAAGGACAGTGTAAATTTTTTGCGTACAGTATATTCGCGTATCGACAATACAATTTATGATTTGTATCTGTAGAGTCCTGGGGACCTAACTCTCGATTAACTAACTACTCCATATCGATAATGCGCTCATTACACATCAAAGTGGCACAAATTTTAATTAAGTTATTATAATGCTATTAGGTCCTTATGGCTCTCGTTTTAAGCTATTTATGTGGCTAGATTATTTATTCGGCAAAGATGTATGCTTTAGATGAATAAAAGAAAAAATATATATATACATATGGCAATACCTAGTCGAGATTCCCATATAATGATAAATAAAAAGATGAAATATCCTGTGTCCTTCTTTATATCATTTAAGTTTCAATAAAGTTTAAATAAAGACATAATTATTGCATGGCTATGAAAATAAAATATTTTATCTTTAGTTTTATGTGTCACTTGTGCCCTTTCGCAGACGAGAGAGAGCGAGAGCGAGAGTGAGAGTGAGAGCGCGAGAGAGTGAGAGAGAGAGAGGGAGAGTGTAACAGACAAATATAAGACATAATTCATGTACACTTCGGACATTTTTTTGTGTAATAAAAACGTAAAATTTTGAAAAATGTTGCTCTTGATACATCACTCGGTGGTCATGTGGCATCAAAAATCAATCTTCGTTTTATCAAGATGAAACTGCTTCGCTGTTTGACAAGTAATGGGTTTTTACTTGAGTGCCAGATATGACTGTCGCGGATGGTTTTTTGTTTATTTACAATATATATATATCTATACATATAAAGATTCCTTTTTTATTACTGATCTCTGTCTATTCCTCACAATGACGTATTCATAAGGTTCGGCTATATGTTCTTTATTATACGTTTGCTCCGTTTTAAGTTACAATTCGGGAATATACTTTACTCACATGTGTGTACTGCTCTGTGTACACGTTTGCTGGTATTTCTTTCCTGCCTCTCCACGCGTATATTGCTTTCAATATCTGCAACAAACACAGGGAGAATCATCAAAGGGAAGCAAACTATAAAATGACAACTTGATATACATTTAATTATAATTTACACCTATCGAACATTAATTTCTTATCGTGATTTGAGATATATTACGTTCAATGCACTTAGAGGAAATTGGGGAAGATTTGTCTTCAAATTATGCATCTGTATAGCTACAATTTAAATAAAGAAATTATAATTTTCTACTTTTTGTTTCTTTTACATACATACATCTATGTCAGCATTGCATGTGGTAGTTGTAATAAAAATAATGGAGGAATCAGTAATAAATGTAGGCAATTCAATGTTTGACTCAAAAGACCAGCGAGCATATTGTAACAATGTCCGTAAGATGTATCATGCTTTTTACATCATTTCTTCACAATATACGATAACTACATTACCAGTCTTTCTTATTAGGTCTTTCTTCACTTTGCTATAACAAAATTAATTTTTTGTAAAATCAATTTCAATAAAAATTCACAAATACGACAACAGCCATTTCAAGGTATTAAGCTACAATATTATTTCATCTTTTGCTTCTAAAATTGATGATATAAATTTGCGATACGTTACAATGTTGTATTCTCATAAACGGTCAATACTTGTTTAGTATCCCGCGAACCATTTGATAAGCTTATTTATGATTTTTCGTTATAAACGTCGGCAAATATTAATACAATTTTTGATCAATTTCATATATGATAACGCATTGTTCAAATATAACTTTTTTTTGGGCGGGTAGTTTCAGCCCAACGGATCACAAATTGGCAACCTGCAGTGATGACGGGACTGTCAGAATTTGGGACTTTCTTCGCTGTCACGAGGAACGAATTCTCAGGGGTATATATAAATCTTTCATTTAATTTATTAACGTATTTTTCTATTAAATTCATCATCTTCGTTTATTCTATCATTTAAATAGCTTGGTTTTGGCACACATTTTTATAAATTATACTATTATTCCTTTCACAAATTATATATTTATCATATATGTTACTATCTTTATCATATATGTTCTTATATTTTATACAAGTATATTGTGTGTATTTAGTTAGTATTGTATATAGCATTTTATAGTATTCTTTCCACAGGTCACGGTGCTGATGTCAAGTGCGTGCATTGGCATCCACAAAAGAGTCTAGTCATTTCTGGCAGTAAAGACAATCAGCAGCCAGTGAAACTTTGGGATCCGAAGACTGGGCAATCTCTGGCGACTCTACATGCGCACAAGTCGACCGTGATGGATGTGAAATGGAATGAAAACGGTAACTGGTTGGTCACTGCATCGAGAGATCATCTCTTAAAACTTTTCGATCTCAGGAATCTTAGTCAAGAAGTTCAGACTTTCCGTGGCCATAAGAAAGAGGCGTCTAGCGTCGCTTGGCATCCAAGCCACGAAGGACTTTTCTGTAGCGGAGGCAGTGACGGCGCCATACTCTTCTGGCACGTTGGGTATGTATCGTCGTTTTCACCTGATTACGATCCGATGGTAATTTATATAATCGCTGTTAGTATTTTTCTTGAATTGAATTGACATTGCAATGACTTGGATAACTTTTGAATTTCAGAGCGGACAAGGAAGTGGGGGCGATAGAACAGGCTCACGATAGCATAGTTTGGACACTAGCTTGGCATCCACTGGGACATATTTTGTGTTCTGGCAGTAACGATCACACATCAAAGTTTTGGACGCGTAACAGACCGGGAGATTTGATGAGGGACAAGTACAATCTCAATACATTACCGGCAGGTTCGGCCGGTATCGATGATCATGAAATTGGTATGGAATGTTTCACAACGTTATTTCAACCCTCTATATAAAATGATATAAAGTCTACTATAATACTCGAGAATATTCTCTCTCATTTTCTCTAGCTGATGAAGCAGCGGTGATACCGGGTATGGGACCAGAGGATAGAATCAACGCAGACTGTGAATCCGAGGACAAAAACGGCGGAATTCCGGGTCTTGATTTAGATCATGCGGTGGATGAGAGCAAGAAATTCGCCAACAAGAAAGTTCCGTATAGCAAACCGATACCGCGAAATTTCCAAGCGCAGTGGAACGAAATGGAAGCCGAGGATATTGAGCAGGTTGAAGCACTTAATGCATTCGTCAATCAATTAATAGAGACAACGCCGGGCGCTGTACCATTGAACGAAGTTACGCCCAACGCTATTATATTGTATGGGAAAATGATTCCCGTGGAAGGTGAGCTGCACACTTGGGTAAAATAGATGCAATCAGTGTTAGGCGGTTATTTTAAACTCATTCGTATCTTTCAGCTGGCTCCAAACTGGCAGAAGCGATCAGTAAAGGGACCGATGCCATAAATAAGTTGGTATTCTCCGGTGAAATAGAAGAATTACGGGATGTGGTGGGTCCACCGGATAACGTGGACGAGGCCGAGGAGTATCTGCAGGATGACGGCGAGATCGATTATTCCAAAGTGCCCGACGTAGATTTGCCGCCGCCCTTGCCCAGCTCTAAATTCGCACAGAATCCGGAGCTGTTGAAATCGCTGAATCGCGGCGGCAAACGCAAGTTTGATCAGTTGATCGGCTGGAGCGACGGCGGAGCTAGCGATCGCATATCCAAGATGCACCAGCCGGTCTTTGGAGGCGTGATTACAGAGGACTCGCAATCCAGCGACACCGATCTGAGGTTTGGCATTGGCAAACCGAATCTTCTCGCCGCGGACAGCAATTCCTTCCACAGTGGCCAGGACGAGGATCATCACAGGAGGAGCGGCCTTCACATTGATCCAACGAGGAGTGGCAGTCGTGGTGACGAGGATCTCAGATTCAACATATCCGCTGGTCCTGGCAGACCTGGTTCACGCAACGACTACGATTTGCGCAGCAACAGTTTCGCGGACAAGGACTTTCGCAACATCGGTGGTTTTCTGTTGTCCAAGTCTCTGGATGATGACGATGATGACGATTACGACGAGCGGGAGCACGGTGGCCGTTGGGACGACGAGAAAGTCGACGGCTCACGTGGCAAATTGGACGGCACGTTCGCCGGCAACAGTTTCGACAAGCGTGACAATGGCATAGCGATGGGTCCTGGCGGTATGGGTAACAGTATACACGGTCATATGATCGGCATGCCTCATCTGTCCAATCATCACAACATGCAAAATATTAATCCCAATATGCCGCCGCCGATACCGAGCCTAGTGCCGCATCCCAACATGTCGCAGCATCCTGGCATGCAGGGCAAACCGCATCCCGGTATGCCCGGCATAGATGGTCCGATGCCACCGCATATGATGCCGCACCATCCGAGTATACACTCGGGTTTTGGTCCCAATGGACCGCCGCCCGGTGGTTTCGGGCCCAACTTTCGGCCACCGCCCAACGGTAATTTCGGCCCGAATCACTTTAGACCGAGCCCGATACTGCCATTTGGACCGAATCAGGGCCCGCCGCCGTTTGGCAACAGTTTTCAGGGGCCGCCCAGCTTCCGCGGGCCAAACGTCGCTCCGATCAACTTCGACCGACCAGGCTTCGGGCCCAATTTCCGCGGTCAAAATCCCCAAGGTCAGTTGAATAGCTTCAACTCCAGCTTTGGCAACTTTGGCAAGAACGGCCCCAGTCGCGGCATGAGCCGTGGCGGTGGCGACAATATCGGCAGGAGTGGCTTTAGTAATCGCGGTAGAGGACGTGACAACGATCAGTCGAGAGGAGGTAGAGGAAGGGACAATTATTGAAGAGATTCCTCAGAACAATGTGCGTGTATCTCGTACGGTCTTGCATGGCCCGTTGAGTGAAACTTTGGCTTATGTCAGTATATAAGATAATGTGCCGGCGTCCTCGACTCTTACTCATGTGTGCGAAAATAACCATGTTCGTATTGTGTCTACATACACATACACACACAGACACGTGCACACACGTGGGAGAATATATAAATACATTTTTTTTCACGATTCGCCTATAAGGAGCTAACGATTGGGCGCGCTCTATGCTGGTTCTACGTGGATCGATTGTACAGGGAATTAATTAAACTTTTTTCTTCTTCAAAGAAGAAAGAAGTGAGAGAAAGAGAAAACGAGTCGCTGATTCAGATTTGGATTTATTCTGAATTGAGTTGATTTGTGTGGTGCAGTTTGCTATGATATGAACAGCTTTTTCTCGAGATAAGCGAAATTGTAATATAAATGCATTAGAGATCGACGACACGAATATTATTCCGATAGAAACTGTTCACAAGCTGCCTTGCGAGGAGATTCTTGTTCCGTACACGGAGCTCGACAGATACATGTTAGTCGCGTTGAATGATGCATAATCTCGAAAAAGAAATTGAACACGAATGTATGATTGACTCTGTGTCCGCCGTTTGTCGTCCAAAAGGTGCGAGAGTGTCAGTCCGGAACAGTCTATCTATTATTAAAATAAAACGGAATAACATGAAGCATCCTTCGTTTCTGTCCTGTTTTCGCATGTACTATACGGTAAACGAGCCAACTCAACTGGGATAACCGTGACATAAAGAAACAAATAACATTTTATGGATTTCGAATCGAAAGGGAATGTATACACAACAGTTTCTAAACGGCGTAATCGAAGTTGGGGCAAAGGTGTTGTCAGCAAATTCACAAGTTTCATATTTATAGCTTCGGTCCTATAAAGTTGACCAGTTAATGCTTATAAACTGTAGACTTACTTCACGCTACTGATTTGACAAAAAAAATTGTAATAATTCTCTTGGCGCTTTTACACATGCTGTCTGGTAAATATTATATAATAATTATTTTTATAATTAAGAAATAACGATTAGATAAAATTTATTGGAAATTATTCCAATGTCACAATTATCCCGATTGAGAATTTATATCGGTTTCCTTTGATCTTGTATAATACGCAGATATAATAATTGAGCGAATATCGAATCACGGGGGAAATTCTGTAAGAAAATGGATCACATCCGATGCAGAGATCGAAACCGATGATGACGATGATTATTCAACGAGTTCAATGTTTCATACTATAAATAGGCTCTCGTTTTTATAGTTGCACATATAGGGATAAGAAACATTTCCTCGTGTATGAATTTCATCGAAATTTGAATTTCGATTTATGAATTACGTTAGAGGAACAAGATGAATTGTAATACGATATATCCATCGATTTATTTCAAGGGATATACACACTTTGCGTTATTTATTAATTATCAATAAATGGCTTTCATTTTTTTAATAATAATTGAGAGAGAGGCGAGACTTTCCATTTTATTGTATCTAGCGCATCGGTCAACTTGCCGCTTCCCCGTTTGAGGTTACGTTTTCCAAAACGTAACCTCTGTAAATTGTGGCAACAGGCCCCGGAGTCACATGCTGTTTTCACAAAAGAGAGAGATTATCTAGATTAGAGACCATGGGTAAAAAGGGCAAAGGAAGAGACGGTAACTTGGGAAAATCTTTAATCAGAGATCGATTTGGATCTAGGAAAGTTAAAAGGATCATCAACGAGCCGTCCATGGTAAAATAATGAATTTGCTTTAACCTCTTCACTCGAGTGTTGTCAATAGGTCATTGAGATAGTTACTACTCAATTCTTTTTCCCTCCTCTTTATGCAGCTTCATACTACAGAGATTAACGATGGATACGATTGGGGTCGACTCAACTTGCAATCTGTTACAGAGGAGAGCTCGTTCCAAGAGTTTCTATCGACCGCCGAACTCGCGGGGACAGAGTTTCATGCGGAAAAGTTAAATATTAAGTTTGTGAATGCCAGCAGTGGCGGCTTGCTCTCCAAGAGTGAAAAGGAGAGAGTGTTAGAGATGCAAGAGAGATGCAAGAGCCTTGTTAAGATACCTAGAAGGCCGGAATGGAACAGTTGTACAAATGCTCAGGAATTGCACACTCTTGAGAAAGAGGCGTTCTTGGAATGGAGGCGCCATTTAGCTACGTTGCAAGAAGCCCAGGGTTTGATATTGACACCTTACGAGAGGAATTTACAATTCTGGCGACAATTGTGGAGAGTGGTAGAACGCAGCGACGTGATTGTACAAATTGTAGATGCACGTAATCCACTGCTCTTTCGCTGCGAGGACTTGGAGCGTTATGTTAAAGAAATTAATCCCGACAAATTGAACATGATTCTTCTCAATAAAGCGGACTTCTTAACGGACGAGCAAAGAGAAGCGTGGGCAAAATATTTTACAGATATCAATGTACAGGTGGCTTTTTTCTCCGCTACGCTAGCGGCAGAAAAACAGCCGATTGAAGAAGAGGACGGCGATGAAGCGAAATCGATAGACAAAAGTGATAACCATCATTTGGATAAGAAAGATGAATATAGTACTGATGAGCGGGAATCGGAATCTGAATACGAAACCGCGGAGGATTGTCTCGACGACGATGCGTGTGCTGTACCCATACAACATATAGTTGATAGCGATAAACAAGAGGAAGCTCAACGCACGATGGAGAATTTAAAAATCTCTGACACAGATTTGGGAGACGAAACAAAGAAGATAGTTAATTCGCCGAAATTGTTAAATAGAGAAGATCTCGTGACGTTATTTAAAATGATTTATAGTGGCGGTAAAACCTACACGGATGGAGTGACGACGATCGGTTTGGTGGGATATCCGAACGTTGGAAAAAGTTCCACTATCAATGCCTTGCTCATGGACAAGAAAGTTTCAGTGTCTGCCACGCCGGGCAAAACCAAGCATTTTCAAACGCTGTATTTAGACAAGGATTTACTATTGTGCGATTGCCCAGGCTTGGTGATGCCGAGCTTTATTTCTACAAAAGCAGAGATGATCTTGAATGGCATACTGCCAATTGATCAGATGCGAGACCATGTGCCTGCAATTACGTTATTGGCTACATTGATACCTAGGCATATTCTAGAGGACCTGTATGGCTTCATGTTACCTACATCACCCGAGGGACAAGATTCGAATCGTGCACCAACCGCGGAGCAACTTTTAAACGCACATGGTTGTACGTATGTCGATCATGTGGCCAAACGTACTAAAATTAAAATTTAAGAGCTGTACGATGCTCCGTGTGTATTTATATCATGTGCAATATATATAAATTACTTTTATGTTTACATTATAATAATTATAATGTACATTTCTTTGCAGACAATAGAGGTTTTATGACGCAGAATGGTCAGCCGGATAATTCACGTTCAGCCAGATACATTTTAAAGGATTTCGTTATCGGTAAATTGCGATACTGCGTTGCTCCACCAACATTCGAGCAAGAGCGTTTCCATACGTTTCCGCCACGACGTCGCAATATATCTGCCAACAGACACGTGCCACCCCGAACAGTTCGCGCAAACCAGGGATGTCAGGTAACAATCGACGACGTGGACCGCAAGTTCTTCCAGGATGTACATGTGAAAAAGATTCGTGGACCTGCGCTGCAATATTCTACAACGTAATGTCAAAATGTTGGCTTTATTTAAACAGTCGCGACAATAATTATAAGATCTATTGAAATGTGTTTCAATTCTAATATTCGGATGACTTTTTGTCGTACATGATCGAAATATATATATACACATTATATGTATAAAATTCATTCGAGTGGTACACTTAATTTTCAGGCACGCGAGACCAGCGGTTAATTTGACAGAATCAATCGATGGTCATTCTGATGAAATCAAGAAACCTTGGAAAACAATAAACAAGCACGTTAACAAGAAGAAACGTGAGAAGACTCGAAGATTATACGCTCATCTTGACCAACACTGAGTAAAAGATGTGCGAAAAGTATAATTTTGCATTTTCTCAAGCTATTGACTTTATAACAGCTATACTGCATGTATAGATGTACAAACATGTATATTGCAGATTTATATTCAATTGTAATCGTGAATGACACGTGTACAAGTACATATACGCTAAAATATTATAGTATCTTACACTTTATACCCTCCGCATTTATTATATTTCATTCCCAATATCTTTGTTTTGTATCTAAAGTTTTATATCATTCTACATTCTGTTTAATCATGATGCGATGTGAATCTCATAATCAACTAGAATATCAACTTCAACAATGGACCATATTAGTTAGATTCCATGGGAATAATCGTTAAGTAGGAAGCACAAGTGGATTTCTCCGTTCGAGTCAAAATTCAGTCCACATGATTCGGTGGATGAATATACATACGTACATACATACATATAGATACATATGTCTGTGTTTGTGTGTGTGCAGTAAATAATACATAATAACTTTAACTTTCGTTATAAATAATTTTCAAGTTTGATAAACACCAGCTCCCTCATGATTTTTCATCGGCGACGGATTTTCAGTAAAATAACACAGTATGCAATATTGTTCTTGCAAACTTAGATTCAAAGTCGTGGAGTAGTTCATCTATATCATTGTCTAGGTCTTCGCTATTCGCCAACTAAAATAGAAAAATTTGCACATTAGAAATTGGAATTACTTTCACAATCAAAACCAAAAGTAAAACAACATGCGATACCACTGTCACTAGTTCGCATATAAGAAACGATCCTACTGTAGCCTCTTCATGATTATCTTGAATGTCAATATTGATCAAGTGCACAGGTTGATTATCTTCCTTAGTTCTAGATTCCATGCATTCGATCACTTGATCGTACACACGTTCCTCGCACGTAATTAAAATATCAAACTTATCCTTGGACAATTGAAATCGTTCTGGCCTAGGTTTTATCCGACGGTTCCGATCCAACATATGCAATAAACCATTCTGTGTATAACTATACTAATTGTTAAGGAACAATTAGTATAGAAGATGGTATTACAGAGAGAACCTACTTTTTATTTAGATTACATTCAGCTTAATAATAGAAACTTTCAAGATACATTAATATTTGAAATATCAGGTGTGTCAAAGGATACTATTGCTTGTCTTTCATCAACAGATCATTGTAAATTTCGTCGTACGAAGTTCCAAAGTCGTAGATATTAGGGCGGTCTGGTGCAGTGCCGGGTAGTTTGACCTTGTCGCCAGTTCCAAATGATTTCACATTAAATCCCTTTTTGCTGAAACAATCATAATTTGAAATGAATATTCCGCCAAAGTTTACCATACTTTACGGGTCTTATTTCAATGAAGCTTATTAAATACTGCAATTTCCTGCAAACTCTTGCAAAGAAAAATTTCATTACAGATCTCACAATTTTACAAGAGAATGCAAACGTCGGAAATTGTGTAAGGTAGAGGCTGTAATCGGACAATTAATATGTGCCAATTATTCAATTGCCGTTTCAACAGGTTAACCGCCGCGAGTGGAACGAACGAGCGATTACCTCAAAAAAGCATGAGCCTCCATGCTTCTATTCATATTACTGGAACATATTACGGCTACGCTGATGGAATTTGGCGCCGGCATCCTTCCGCGCGTTCTATCGACCGTGAAAGAGCCGTGATAGAAAATTGGTGTAATCGCCTAACCAAAGAGAATTTCACGTTTGAAGGTTAAGTTGAGAAAGTTACGAAGGATACATCTGACAATCTTTTATGCGTTTATAATGTATTTTTCTTTATCTAAATCTAATGGAGCGTAATGGAGGCGTAGTGCTGTCCGAGCTGTGCGAACGTTAATCGTCCTCCACGGCGAAAGGAAATTTCTCTAACGGGAATTCGACGCGATGACGGAAAATCCGGGAACGGTGTCACGAATATCACGACCCATGAGCTTTCGGGATTTCTTGGCTCCGTCGATAAAGACGCTTCAGTGACATCTATGAACCAGAGAAGTAACAAGCCCGAGATACGCCATCTGTGGGCGCGAACTACGTAGCCAGTGACCACTTAATTCCCGCCAAGTGGGTTACGCATTTGCATGATTTTGGTCGCGTCCCGCGCTACGGTTAGATTCCATGCGACGATCCGGTATGTACGTACTTAAAATAATCTTAGATGCGTCGAACAAAAATTATAACATATTAACATCGACACCGTACAGTAAACGCAACTGAGGTAAACGGTTAATCGAGACGCAATCGTCCGAAAGTAATTGAAAGTGAGATGTTGCGCGTGTAATTTTTTGCTTAGCGTACGGCGTCGTAAACACCTCGGCCGAAAACCGAGCGCGGATTCCGAGAAATGACGTAGCGCCGCAAGTAAACAACGATCGGTCGAACACCGAGCGCGGATTCCGAGAAATGACGTAGCGCCGCAAAAACACCTCGCTCGAAAACAGTCTATTGTTCCGTGTCATTCGGCGCGAGTCAGTCGAGCGGGGCGGACGTTCCGCGCGTCTTCGTGCCGCTTCCCGCAACGCGATTATTTCCTGCGGGACTCTAGATCGTCTCGTACGCGACGCGATCGTCTCCTACGAGAGCTGTTAATCGCGTTTGAGTAATTGTCGCGTTTCGCGATCTCGTTGATCTCTGCGTTGGTTCGTCGAGACGAATATCGCGCACAATTTGAAGTCGCCCGACGAATCGCAACCGCGCACGGCGGTTCGTCGCGTCGCGTTCGGGAGTGCCGTTTAATTATCGAATTGAAGACTTTTCGAAGCCCGTTTGAATGTGTATTCGTTAAATGCCTGTTTCTGTCGATGGCCACACTCGACTCGAAGTGGAGGCGAACTTGACGGAACGGAATACTTTCAAACGGGCTTCACGAACGGGAGTGTAAAATCGCGCGAACGACGTTTGTGTTTTGTGTTTTCGCCGAGTGTGCCAGAAGACAACCTGAGAGGAGGAGGAGGCCAGGAAACGGCATCAGGCACCGGCGGAGCAACTTTAAGGTAAATGTTGTTCTTTATCTTGTTTAAAATTAATATCTTTCCGGTTCTGTCGAGATGTTTGTTTCATAATTCCATAATTTCGAGATAATAATTAGAGAGCAAGAAGTAATTTGACATTTTACAAAGATCTTTCGCGGAAAATTTTTCGCGCATTGATCATTAAAGAATTTTACCGAATAAAGTTTGACACGCACAAGACTAACTTATATCTTTCAATATTAGCTCCCTTGAGCATTGGCTTTAATGAATTCTCTACTTTTATGTTACAGAATCAACATACGTAACTCCGCTGCTGCGCGTCAGGTCGGTGAGTGAGAAGTTTTTGTATTTATAGGTAACGAATCTACATCTAGATCATAGATCGTAGATCGTAGAACGTAGAACGTAGAATGTACACCCACAGAAAAAATTTTTTGATCCAATGCTATTACACTTCAATGTATCATAAAATATGATCGATATAGCGCCGATCATATTTATTATGGAGAAAGGAATATTTTAATCATAAACGAAAAATTCTAAAATCTAGAATAAAATGAGTGTCGTCTTTTGTCGAATATCGTGGTGCCAACTTCGTGCGTTGTAAGATGGAGGGAAAATTTATTCTAAATGCAAGAATACATAAACTTACGTTTATACATATAAGTTACTCTTGTCTCGATATAATTAGTCAATCTTTTTTAATTCGCTAGAGGAGAATAGGAATTATTGATTTTATTTCGATATTGTCTTATTTTTATACTAAATGAGATTGTGAGAAATACATATAAATGCGTCAAGAATATTTCTTGTCCCGGTAACAGAAATCCTTTCTGAGGGTGTAGATCGTAGATTGAAACATTTTGTAAATTCGTTACCAGAAATGGATAGATTACAGTATAATTTCATGTTGATTTTAATATATATTTCGTCTATCGAAGGCGAGTAATCGCGCTTTCATTGTGGAGGGTTGGGTGCTCCATTGCAGCACATATTTTCACGCAAAATATGACGAATATAATTATTAATATATTTGTTTAGCTGATATCTTGTAGTCTATCCATTTTTCATTAACAAATTTGTATATAAAGTGAACTAATAATGACGTGAGATTCTAATATTTTTTCGGAAACGCGGTAACTTTGTGTTATTTTCATACATAATTTGAAATTTTTGATCCACTAGAATATTCAATTGTCGATCTGTCTATCATACGGAAAGTTTCTTTCTTCTATGTCTCACGTCATTTATTTTGTATATGTATTTCGCGATACACTTTCAAGATGCGTCTCACATGAATACATGCATTATACACACAGAAAAATATTATTGTACAGTCAAGAAAAGTAATTATTCAGTTTATTTTATTCCGTTCAAGTAATAGTTTGCTTCAACAAAGAATATTTTCTTAATAATAGTTTTAAGATATACTTGTTGCTAGTCTTAGAAAAGCTTGCCATCTTATACTCAAAGAAAGAATGTATTCTTCTTTGAAGAAAATTATAAAACTTATTGAAGAATTCCGTATGCTTCTTTCAATAAAATCAGAAGAAACAAAATTGTTTTGCTTCAAATAATTCTATGTATTCTTATTTGAAGTACTAGACTTACTAAGAACCAGAATATGTTTTGAGTAAATTTAACACTTGCGACGACATTATGATAGATTTGCAGATATATAAACTTATCAAATACTTGGAACAAATAATATTTGCAGGTAGTATATATTTTTCTGTGTGTAGTTACACGCATCTTCGTATTTTCGCGGACGGTCTTCGCGATTAGTTTTTTGAACATTTTCACGAAATTATTACTTGTTCAATTTCATGCACATTATAAATTTTAATTTATCGCGGAATGTAATTAGAATTAATATAACGCGAAGTAAATGGTTTTTTCCATATAAATATATTATATATATACTTGAATTTCGAATTTAAAGATTGAGTCACGAAGAGACAGTCATTATTGATTCTCGAATAAATAACGGAAGTAAAAATATATTTGATTAGTTTTATACGGTACATTTTTAAATTAATTTTCTTCTTTAATTAACCTCACGTGGTCGTGCATTTTGATACAATCGTCGCTCGCATAAGTTCGAACCGTACGAAATATCTGTCGGTGACGATAATAAACCGACTGTGGAAGGAGTTTTCTTCCTTCCTGATCTCTGGTCAAAATGATCAGACTGTAATGGCCAGGAGCAACGAAAGGTAGGTCCAATCTGGCCCAACGACGCAGTAAATGGTCAATATTGGCCACTTTTGAAGGAGTATGTACGAGTAAATAAGGTGGCGTACGAAATAAGTTGATTTCTTTTTATTTGTCAAAATTCGGGTGGGTTATATTCTTATCTTCTTTACATATTCTCGCATATGTGCGAGACTAACAAGACCCCTAGTAAATCCCATTCGCGCCCTCATAAATCGCGTCGCGGTTTTAACGAGATTTGTAGGTTTATTAACAAAAAGTTGAAACGCGGGTAGGCAGGAAAATGGATAGGACTATACAGCGGAATACAGGAAGGTAAGGATTCGGGTAGACAGGGACGGGGGGCCGTAACTCGATAATTAAAAAGATAGATAACATTATAACTGCAATGTATTACTATTAAATATAATTAATGTAATTGGATGCATATAATAGGATGGAAGTTGTTATGCGTTTGTTAAGTTTTTACTATAAATTTACTTAAAATTTTTGTAGATTTGATTCACTTTAAGAGATCGTTAATAAATACATTTGGGATATTTTTTATTCCAAACATGCAGTATGTATGTATTTTACATTGCAAGAATTTCATGTCATTGTATGCATACCGAATATTTCATATGTAATGTCGAGAGAAATATTGTATTGTATATTTTTATTTTTATAATATAAGAAAAATGATATAAATAATAAAATTGTGAAAAATCACATTGTAAAGAAAAGAGGACCGCCGATCGAATTCGGCGGGGGTGGTGGAGGGGCCTCTACAAGATGGACTGTTATTATCCGATAGAAATTTAATTTATTATTACTTAAAATTTACATGAACCTTTTTCACGTAGTAGAGAAAGAAAGAGAATTTTCCAGATTAGTTATTGTATATGATTTTTAATACGATCCATGTGTAAAAAATAAACAGTCCTTTTTTTAATACTACGTAACGCCACGCAAACTCTTGATCGGGGAAGTATTTACATCGCTTTTCTTTACATACGTAACGCTAGAGCTAATTTAATATCCATATTTGTCGTTCAGATTTGTCCTGCCGTCCCCAGACTGATTTTGCGGCGGGACCCACGTAGAATAGTCATTTGAGTAAACGTCTTGATCGTATTGCTTTTTTGCACTTTTCATCCTCTCTGATTTACTATCCTTCTTTCGTTTTTTCTCGTCTGCGACGTTTTGTTTCCTCGTTTCCTGATTAACGTTTTTCGTGACACACGATTTGTCGACTTTTATCCTATTCGATTCCGTTTCGTCCTTATGTGGTATAGATTCTTTGCATTCGGACTTGTGTACATTCACATCCTCGTCTTCCTTCTCTTTTACGTCATCTTCATTTTTTTGTTCTTGATCGTCTTCTTCTTCTTCTTCTTCATTATCCATGTCACTATGTAAAGTTGATGAATCTCTTTCCCCTTTGTTCTGAAAAATATATTATTTTTTCGTCATAAGTAAAATACTAAAACACGTTAGAATTGCGTAAGAAAATAAAAGAATACGAAGGTAAATTGCTTACATTTGCCTCGAAAAGCTTTCGCCTTTTTTCAAGCTGGGAAACCTTTCTCATAGAAAGTTTCGAACTTTGCTGCACGTCATTCTTCTCGTTTTCTGCTTGCTCTTGGCTAACAAGAGGCGGCAAATTGGCCGGTTTCGTAAGGTTTATTAATTTGACAAGTTTCATTTCTTCTTTACGTAGGTTCTGCAATTCTACTTTCATTTTCGTTATGTCGCCTTTACTCAAAGTAGACGTATTCAAGCTCAACATAAAAGCATCCAGCGAATCCTCGTTGGACTCCCCCGCCTTAGCACTTTTCTCTTGTGCGTCTCTCAAACGAGCGTTCAAACGTGAAATTTTGTTTGTAATCTCGCTGTGTTTCTCAGTCTGAAATCATATCAATGAAACGTCTAGTTGAAATTTGTAATATTATATAAAAATGTAGACGCAAGAACAAACTGGCATTACCAATGAGCTATATGTCTCGACTTTTTCCTCAAACTTTCCAGCTTGTTTCATCCTCTGCTCGCGTTTCTTCTCTACTGTTCCTGTTCTATCCAAGAAGTTATCCTCGTCCGAATCGTAATAATCTTCCTCTTCCCAATTTCTTGCTTTCTTCTTTCGACTCTCTGTAATCAATCAATGGTAATTAGAAATCAAATTTGCATTCGTTATCGTTTATTCACATTATACGGTACCGTGATTAGCTTGTCTCAATAATCCGTGCCTATCCAAGATTCTGCAGGCTTCCAAAGCGCATTGGACAACGGATTCTTTCTTCTTTCCTTTGACGAGGGCTTCTGCTTTCACGACTCGACCGCCGAAGCATTCTTTTGGTAAACTGAAATTGTTTTGAGTTTCACACGTGAATAAAAAGAAAAGAAACGATATGTCAAAGTACGATGTACGCAAATTTTAAAGCAGAGCTACGTAAAAAGATTATCTCATATATTTACTTTATCCAACATAAAAACTGGCCTATCCCTTTCTCGTCTACTTGGTATTGCAAATCGTATCCCTCTCTTTCAAACCAGCCTCTCAGTGTTTTCTTGGGATCATCTAAGTATAGCTCTTCGTCTACCATAGAAGCATAGGGATTCTCCGTCAAGTCCGTTTCCTCGTTGGCATCTTCTCCCATTCCCCAATCAATGCCCTCGTCCTCCGCTGCCTGCCTCGCTCTTTCCTTCGCCTCTTCCTCTTCTTTCTGCCTAATCTCTCGCTCCTGCAATTCTTCCAATCGTTTTTCCTGCGAACAAGTATACGTTTGAAAGCCTCTTGCCTCTTACAAGAATACAAGTCGCAATGGACAGCAAAATATTATTGTAACAATTATAACAAACTAATTACACGCGTGAATTTAATTCTAAACGAAACTAACTTTGAGCTGAGTAACCGTCAGTTCGGATTCTTCTTCCTGGTCGTTCAGTGGGGCCTGCAGAATGTATTTTCTATGGCTACAGCCGAACCTTATCATATGGCCGCCATGTAACCGAACGTAGGTCCTCGATTTTATGCGATGCCCATTCCAGAATGTGCCGTGCGTGCTCTCCAAGTCGTACAAATAAAAGCCCGTGGAGTTCTTCTCGTCCCCGGTCGCTCTGTACTGGATAATCGCGTGGTGCCTCGAGATGGTCGGATGGGCGAGGGACAAGTTGCAGGAGGGCAATCTCCCGATCACGTAAAAGCTCCTCTCGGTTAAGTCGATCTTCTCCAGAATCATCCCCGACTTGAGAATCTCCAGCTTGTACCCCGAGATTGGTTTCCCACCCCACTTCGGCTCCAGGTACGGTACAGGAATATTTCTCGCGTCAGACGGGACATGCTCCTCCGCGGCACCTTCCCACCTGTCGCTGCTATCATCAGCGTCGTTCAGTTGAACGGGCTCGGCAGCCTCCTTGCTCGCGGACAATTCAGACAGCGAGAACACCGCATTGTCGTTGACCGTCCGAATTTTTCCGATCTTACCCCGCTTGGGGCCGATGAGCAGAAGCGGCTTCTTGAATCCCGGCTCCTTGCAGGCGTCAACCGCGTCACTGCCGGAAGACCCTGACGCGTCCTCCGTTTCCGACCTATTGGCGCTCTGCTTGTTGCACGCCGACGATTCGGGAATCGCTTCATCGTTGCCCGCGTCGACGTTATCGCTGGCAACTGCCGCGGGAAGACAAGTCGCGGAATCACTCTCCTGGTCGTTCACCTCCATGGCAGCAGCCCCGAGTTCTATGCCAGGAAGTCAAGTGTCATTGATTCGCGCTTATGTTCTTTTAATCGATTATTGTTAATTTATGAATCGCGCGCGGGACTCGAGCGACACTGGCAATGTTTACGCTCGGATCACGCGCACATAACCTGTCGGTCACCATAGACCTACCCTCCACTACCGATCGGAGATAGAGGGGGGATGGAGTATTTTTTATATAAAGAGCGATTGTGAATGAGACCCCGTTCTAGGGACTTTTTGTTTACCTTCACCCTTGATGGATTTAAATAAGTACCAAAGAGGAACTCGACAGCTAAACTTCAGAAACAATGCCCCTGACTCGTTCGAATTACTCGGACGGAGGATGCTCGACATGAGAGTCAGACAATCGCTCTGACTTAATATTTTTTGGGGAAAAGGGAGAATTAGAAACAAACTCGTGCAATCTGATGTTTCCATCGGCGATCAGAAAGTTCATACCGATAGTCGGTACTTCTCGATCACCTCCAGTCGCGGAAATTTATCCAGCGTAGATCTTCGATTTCTCTGCTCGTCGACGCTAATTATACTTTACACTATAAAAATAGCGATTTTTGTTAATTGAAATGACAAAAAATTTAGCAGACTTTTATACACAATTAAGAAGTGCGTTCAAGATAGTTAAATAAATAAAAATTAAGCAATGAACATTTTACATAGATGCAGCATTCCTTAAAATATATAAACGAATATCACCGACTTTTAAATAGAACTTGATAATCCACGATTAGATCGCGCGTACCGGAATAATCGCAGAAGCAGTGAGAGTCAGTTTAATAATAGGATTTGTATATCTCAGTTTATTTAATTAAAATATACAGATTATATAAACGTGATCACACATTTGTTCGAGTTCCTCCGATATCTACTCCCCCTCGGCAATTCTCTTAACCTGAGATAAAATCGCTATATATATATAATATTTCTTCTCACTAACAGTTCCTCTCTTCGTGTCTCTCTTACATCATAAACTCTTTATTCTCTTTACCTCTTAAAAAATACTCGCTCTCATATCTATACGGCGTAACAAATGATAAATCTACGGGCGCGCCAGGTAGACGCGATCTCTCGCTCAAGATCGCCTCCCTCGCAATTTGTTTTAACAGACGCCTCGCTCCTTTCCGTAATCGCTTAAATTTATCTATACAATATCTTTGCATATGTATATATATATGTCTATTAACACTGTATTTACAAGCAACGTGAGACCTATGGGCATGCACCAAAAAGAGATTAATACTCTTAAAATAAATGTTCGCCGTTAGCTAACGCACGTGTCTCTCTGCTCGGTAACTCGGCGCTGCCCCTCGCGACGTCCTGCTTTTAATTTGAAACTTTTCTCAGAAATATAATCCCTCGTCTACACGCACGCACATACACGCATGTTCGCGAGTGGTAACTATTGTAGGCACGCGTCATCCCTTTCGGTCTCGTCTTCGATACACCCGTCGGTGACAATTTCTCTCTAAGCAGCTCCCGAACGATATAACTCCAAGCATATATTAATCTGCGCAATCTTATTTACACAGAAAAAAAATCGAAGTCTTTAAAAGCTAATTAATAAATATCGATAAATATATACGGTTAACATTTTACACTTTAGTAATATACTCCAGCAGCGCGTTATATTATTTTTTCTTTTCTTTAAAAATGTATAAACCCTAAAGTGACTACGTCCCGTAAGATAACGTATGTACTCTCTCTCTCTCTCTCTCTCTCTCATTACCGAAGATATTGTTCTCGATGGATGCAAAGGTAATTGAAACAGAACAGGAAATGACGTACATTCGTAATAGCGAAATTCAAGTGTCGAATCTCCATTCACCAATCAGATGTAAGACAAACGCGCTGTGCGTTTTTCTAATAGCGAGAAAATGAATGTTCCTGAATCGTTCTCTTATTCTTTGCTCCAGACACAATGTGAAAGACTGTTATGGATTATATACGCTGTAATTTATATTCTGATATTAATATATGTGTACCTATTAATGCCAGTTATATACATATATATACATATCAGATATAAGTCTTTCTTATCCCCGATGACTGTATTATTAGATCACTAGTACGATTGGTGCACGTTTGCATTTGGAACACAATTGTTGTACAATTGTTCGCATCGACAGAAATTTGAGTTCCCCCGATTGTTCTAAGCTGTGCTTCAAACATCCCCTCTAACAATCTAAACTTTTATAACGCACAGTAAACAGTCGTTTGGTGCTCCGTACCGAGTGGTCGTTATTCGAGACCGCGCGCCTCCGGAGTCTCCTTCGGAGGCGGATTATAAATCTGTACCTTTTTATCCATTATTTATCTACGCAACAGTTTATATCTAACGAATCGGTATCGATGTACTTCGCAGGTAGAGGCTGCCAATCAATTATTCTCAACTATATATTAATTCTCATTGTAATTTCTATTTACACGCAACTGTTCAACAACCACTCCGTACTCGGCCAAGGCAGATCAGTGTGATTGCATATCCTACGTACTAGATAATAGTTTAATGCCTTAATTCATTATACACTCTCTAAATACGGTGTCTTTTTGACCCTCGCGAACCGTCGTCGAAGACTACGATCCGTCAAGCGAGCATCAATCGGGGAGGGGAGGGGGGTGAGAGAAACCATTTCCAGGAGTACGCGTGCACAGTTACGCGGGCCGCGTGTTCGTATTTCATATTCAACCCTATTGCGTTTGGTCGCCTCATTCGGTCCAAGGTAAAGATCGCAAACAATAGTTATCACCGAGAATGTGCAAGTATGAGATAAGCATACGGAAACCATGCCTTTATACGCAACCGTACCTTCTTATTGTCAGGCTACTTTACGCCCATATTATACTTTCATATTTTTTTTGTCCTACGCGACACTTGCTAATCTACACGAATATTGGAAAGCATACAAAAGATCGGGAATATATTTTGTTTTTTTTGTGTATTATAAATTTCTCGTGGTCGCAAGTTACAATATCGTCTCTCGACCGTGTACGCCAATTGACTTAATCGTTAAAAGAACACTTCGTAAATTTGCCCGAACTTTGGTAAATGTAACGTCCGCTCATATAAGAGGGACCGATATAATCTTCCTTTAAAAATTGCGAAAGCACAGTCTTGTAAACTACATAGAGAATTTGGAATATAACGATATCCTTTCAAGGATGACTAGTTGAATTTCTTTTAGTCCATTCTAAACGATATCGCAGTATCCTTTACGAGGAATTAATGATCGTGTTTAATAAATAGAATGGGAGAGCGTAGCAATTTATTTCCATGCAGCAAGCAATATTATAAAATGAAATAGATATATGCACTTTATGTACGAACATAAAAGATCAGTGTAAATAATTCCAATAACAAAATACAAATAGTACATTCGCTAAATCAGTAGTCGTCACAAGCAGATATAAGTACTTGCGATACCAAATTTCGTCTAAAATAATCCTACGTTGCTTAAGCAATTTGTATATGTGACTTTACTACCCAAAATGAAATAAACAATAACTTAAAAATGCTCAGGGCCCCCCCATGCGTGATTTAGCATATCGAATAAAAGAGAATACGCGGTCTCAAGGATGAAAGTTTTAAGAAGAGACATAAAATGCAATGTAACAATCGCTCTTACACCGTAACTAGATAATTCGCAGATAGTGACATTAAGGGTAAGAGTGTCATACCCTAAGAAACTCGTCAATTCACAAAACTACAGCCGTTGACTATCCTCTCACTTTCCAAGACGTTTGATTCGAGATCGCGTGCTCAGGGATCGAGCGCTAGGATTATACGGTGATTTCACCTTCTTAGCTATACCAGACGTGGAACCTGCGGTCGAGGGATTTATGGTCGCGCAAGTACTCACGCTTCCACCGTTACCGTTCGCTTGTTTAAGTTTACTGGCTGACAACGAGGAAGACCTGACTCTACTCGATTGCAGCGATCCACCGTTCGCGGACTGCTTCAACTTGTTCGGTAGAGGCAATCGATTTTGCTTCACTACTCCATACTGGTGAACCAATTGCGCGGATATTGTATGTCCGGCGATGTCTACGTTACGCGAACGTAATGTTTTTACAGGTGTTGCCGCCATCGTGTCTGATCTAAACAAAACACCAAAACGGCAAAGTTTAGTAAAAGTTTATAGACGTATCTCTCATCAACATATTTAGACGTGGATGAGAGATGCAATCTACATTATTTTAATGATCCATTTAATTACAACTGTCCATCTTCAATACGAATGATAATTGTCTTGTTTCATAAAACAAATATTTGAATATATCACGCGCGAAAGTTCTTTTCTGAAAAAGGAATCTGACTAAATTACACGATTAAATATAATTAAACCAACCTTAACCATCGCTGGGGTAATGTCGTGTCCGTAGGACCGATTACCGTTACTGTCCTATTTAACGTCCTTCTACCGTTACAATTGCTCGCCCTGTTATTCCTCCCTTGGTCCCAATCCCTTAGGCCAAAACTACCTCTTAGCTGTTGTAATCGATTCGAACCGTTGATAGACGATCTCCTGATGGCTTTAACAGGCGTAGCCTTTTTGCCCAAGCTCCTACGTTGGAACGTGTTCGATGACGAAGAGAGCGCCGTTAAACTGGCGCCGTTCAATGACGAGTCTGACCGCCTGTCCGACGTCGGCCAACTTAATCGGGCATTAGCATTCTCCAACGCCTTATTCGCCGGATCGTTCTCGTCCGTGGGACTGTGCCGTTGGTCCTCGGAACGTGTCCTCCTCTTGGCACAGGGTTCTTGCTGCTGCACGCAGCTGTTCTCGATTCCAACGGACGACGGGACCGATGTCTGCGCGATCGCGCTGTGCTTGCGTTTGTTACTCATGACGCAATCGCCGGTCGTCTTTAACGCGTTCTTCACCGTCTCCTCCACCGCTGCGCTTCCCGCGACAGACGGCTTCGTTACCCTGTTGTACCGCGACTTGACGCTCACGTAAGTCTTCGAATCCGGAGTCGGCGCGACGTCAGCGAAAGCATTCTGCGTTTGAGAAGCGCTGAGACTGTGCCGTCGCTTTATCGTTCCGACGTCCGCCCTCGCGGGAAATAAAGGGTGCTGCTTATGCCTAGATCCGTTCAAAACTCCGTTCTTCACATCGCCGTTGTCGAAACTGTTACTCTTGACTGAAACAATTCCGCCACTTCGACGTAACCTGCTTACGAGGGGAGCAGGTTGAAGCGTCTCCTCGTTCGTGCCAGGAAATGTATTCTGTCGCGTCACGTTAGACACTCCTGTCGCAGTCACAATTTCTTTAGGCTCGGCGAATTTGTTCGATTTTGGATTCGATTGGCTCAGAGTCTGCGCGTCGTCAATCTTCGCCTTTTCCTTTTCACTCTCCTCAACTGCCTGCTTCTTCTCCTTCTCGGGATGTTCAGATTTCTCGTGACTGGTCTCAGTCGCCCTCTTACTTTCCGCATCGCCGGGTTCTTCTGGCATCTGACTCGAGGAGATCTCGGCGACCTGGATACTCTCGTCGGTATCAGTGGTCTCGATACTCTTGTCTGCCGTGGTCTCTCGTAATTCCGATGAAGCGTCAATGTCCGACAAAGCCGACTTCTCGGCACACGACACTGTCTCCGGCTGTGACGTCTGATCGACAGCCTCCTCGTTTCCGTTCGATGAATCCGGTTGCTTGATATCAAGCTCCGTGGAAGCGCTTGGCGACGGTATTGGCGATAGGACTTTTGGATTGACTGCTTCGACGCTTTCAGGTTCTTTTGTCGTGGTTGGCGTGTGTGTTCCGTGATGTATAACACGATCTTTCTTTTGATTAAACAGGACCTTTAAGTAAATGTCTCAGCTAAAGTACCGACAGTCTAATTGTCATCAGACTAATTGTATTATAAATTGGAAATTCTTAATTTGCCATTCGAAATATTGAGCCGTGAATTTTTCGTTTCAACTTGATCAATTTATACAAAGCTATGCGCATTAAATCGAACTTTTCTGAAATAAGTATTATTTCTACCTCGCTGCGACACGGTCCTGATGGATCCAACATTAATGTTACAACACTAGTATTATCTGCTCGTAATCTCGTCGATGACCACCTCTCCAGCGCACGGTCCACAAGACTTTTCGAGGGATTTATCCACATTTGTAGATCAGCCTGCTAGCAAAAAGACTCGTAATACCTCACCGTTTTATCGTATTTATCAACATATATGGGGTAACTCTTGTACTTTTGTCGCTTTAATAATCGTACGTACAATTAATAACGCAAAGTAAACGCGAAACTTACTCCGTTACCGGTCTGCTGAGAGGCTATCAAGTGCTTCTCGTTGTGTCTGTCTGTGGCTTGAACAATAGTTACCGCGGCTTGCGGCGACAACATATTCCATAGGCCGTCAGTGCCGAAGATGAGACAGCGGTGTGACTTGACGTCGACCGGGATAACCTTGACGTCCGGCTCGGGGGAGACGACAAAGGTGTTCAATTCGGAGTTGTAACTCCACAGGTCGCCTGAAATCGACTCCACTTAGATCCCATCGCGCAAAGCCACTCAACACAAAGGGACACACGCGTATTTACCTAGAGACCTCGCGACAGCTAGGAACGGGATCTCGTCCATATGCGTGGACCTTCTAACCGGACCCTTGTGCCCGATGCGAGGTCTGTTCCACACGACCCTCGGCACGCCGGACTTACTGACCACTTTCCCACCAGACTCCTGTATGCGCGTCATCTCCGGCCCGCTCTCCGGCTTGTGGTCCCTCGTCAGCGCCTTCGCTCTCCACTGCGGATCACCCTCCGCCTGATAGCCCAGTATGATAGCGGAATCCCCCACGTGACCTATGTATATCTTGCCCTTCCGTATGAAGGCGATGCTGGCGGTCGTGCCGGCCGTGGACGGCAGCCCGGACGCGGTCCTCGGCCATTTGTCTGCGCAGAAAGCAATGCCAGTTGAAGCGTGCACGTCCGCGATGCAAAGCTCTCCGCGATCAAGGTCGACGCGCCCGTTACGCCTGACGTGTGTGAGCGAGCGCGCGCGCGCGCGCGCGACGGGAGTCGCCGCGACCCGGACTCGCGACGGGGGAGGGCGACGCTCCGGGAGCACCGCGCCGCGCATCGTATTCCTCTACCCCTCTTGCCCCCCCATCGATCCTAGACCTGAAATTTTCAGGTTAGCTCGAAGAATTACATAACCTAAACTCTAACCTAATCAGGCGCCTAGTCGCGACGGCGACGGTGGTGGGGGAAATACGCGGGACGATGACAGAATTCCCGACGGGGGCCCCCGCTCGTCGCTGCGGGGGCCGCGATAACGCGCCGCGGGTTTAAAATTCGCGGGAAAGCCGACGGGAACGGGACGAGCGAGCGAGCGAGTCGCGAAATGCGCAGCCGATCTTCGTACCGAGCTCCCGCCACATCGCGTAGTGCGTGTTCATGTATCCGTCCCTGATCGCCCGCAGCACATCCTCGTCGCGGTCGCTCCAAAAGTTCTTCTGCTTCACGATGATGTCCATGAGGTGCTCCTTGGCGAAGGTCGCGGCCTCCCCGCCCCCGTGGCCGTCGAAGATCCCGAAGAAGGCGTACTCCAGGTCCTTGTCGTCCGGTGTCGGCTGGAACGCCACGCAGAACATGTCCTCCATGTACTTGCGGCCGCCCTGATTACAGTGGCCGGTCACCCGGAGGTTCACGCCGATGCTGAGCGGCATGTCGACGCCCGGGTGGGAGCGACGGTCCCGTTCAGCGGCAGCGACGACGACGGCGACGGCGACGTCGCCGAGGTGCGAACAACTGTCTGTGTACGGTGCGCTTATTACGCGCTCTATCACCGCTGCGTACACTCGTCGAACGGAAGCCTCGCATTTACTGGGCAGGTCCGCGCCAGTCCGCGCGCGCCGCACGATCCGCGCGCAAGAGAGAGAGACACGGCGCGGCGGTGGAGAGGGAGGCGGGGGGGGGGGGTGTACAGTGACGTTGCGGTCGGCGACGGAGCGGCGCGGTGGGGATTGGCGGACGGCTGGCGAATGGCTGAAGCGCGAGAGGGGAGTCCCGTTTCCCTCCCCTCTGCCCGCTGCCCTCGACCTCACGCACACACGTGCGCACTCTCTCCCTCTCTCTCTCGCTCGCTCTCGCTCTCTCTCTTTCTCTCCGTGCGCACGTCTCCTCGATTTCACCGACACACGAGCGCGGCCGACGCTCACCGACGACGACTCTCGGGGAAACGGCTAGAGCGGAAGATTTTGGAATGCACACACGCGTGTCCCCGGCCGCGCCGTGCGTGTGTTTTCGAATATGCCGCCCGCGATCGATCGGCCGCCGATCGCGCGCGGACGGCTCTCCGGACTCGGACCGTTCGCGCCGTCCCGTCGGCCACCTCCCCCCGCCTCCCGTCCGCGGCTCCGCGAGGAAGCCTTGAAAGTCGGCCGTCCCGACGCCCCGGCGCGGCGCGACGCGAACCTCTCTCCGACGTCTTTAAGCCCCATGTCCCACGATAATGCAGCATTTTCGACCTCGCGCTTTCCCCATTACGTCCAATTGCTCGGCCGCCACGTGCCACCTCCCCCGCGGTCGGGCCCTCTAATTGGTCGCGGTAAGAGCTGCAAGTTAGAAATGCGCTTTGCGCCGAAGATAGGGAGACGGTAGGCGAGATAAGAGAGCGCGTTTCTGGACTTCGCGAAGTTCGCGGCCGTTCGATTTCGTTTACAGCGGCGCACGTGGAGGGATTAATTGTCGCGGGTTGGAATTTAATGCACTTCGGACGGCGCGCTCAGGTTGCACGCGCGCGGTTTACCAGAGAGACGGACGACGGCGACGGCTTATCGCGCTGGCGTTTCCGACGGTCTTTTTTTTGTGCTCGTAAAACAGATGACGAAATTTTGAAAGCGGCAGCGAGAGCGACAAACGGGACGGCCGTCGCGGAAATCAGCTCGGAACGATCGGTCCATCCGTAGATCGCAGCCGACTCTCTCGTACCCGAGAGGAGAGAG